CCAGCTTGTGGCTCCGAAGCACAAAGGCCAATTGGTTCACCGAAAATGTCTACATACAAGTGTTGCTTGAAGAGGATGAAAGTAATTTTACTATTGCTCGGTTCGTTGGCAGGAATCAATCACCTGGAAAAATACTCCAAAAATCGCTACAACCGCATTTGAAATCGCTTGCAAAGTGGCTAGTCGATTCCATTTTGGAACTGCTCAAGCCACGAAATTCCAACGAGGCTCCATGTACATTTCCGTTGGCAACGCCATTGGAACCCTACGTTATGACCAGAATGCATGAAAAAAATAATTAACTCTAGAAAACAATTGAGAACACTTTCCCTTAGGTAGCACAACATCATCTTCAGTCATATACACTCTTGTATTCCGAAATATTGTAATTACCGCAGTCGTAGCTACCAATGTTGTATTCCTTCACCTCGTATCCTCCCATTTTGTAACCACTACCAGCGGATGATGATTTTTTCGTTGTTGGAGCACCAGCATTCTTCTTTTCTGCACGAGCAGGCGTGGTATTACTTGAGGTGGACTGTCGATTTTCCGTCATGGCCGGTGTCCTTCCCATTCGTTCCAGGGTGTCTACTGTCCGGGCTTTGCGATTGGCCTCTTTTATGAGTTGTCTTTCACGGTAATCGTGAGTAAAAACCTTGCGGTTGCTGCGTCGAATGGCTTCATTCTCGGCTTCCTGCTGAATCATGCCAGTTCGTGCCCCGTACTTGACGCGGGTTCGAGAGTCATCGCTGAGGGCGGTTCTTTCGTTTTGTTCTAGCGGATAAGCTTCTTGTTGAGTCTGTTCTTCCTGTTGATACTGTGCCTCTGCACGAGCCATGGTGGCTTGGTTGTATTCAAAATTGTCAATTGGATAAGCAGTGGCAGCGAGTGGAACAGTTTCGCCACCGGCCACGGGAAAGGAAGCTGGCAAAAGAGTTCCTTCTAGTTCATCATCGTCTCGGAGTGCTGTAGCTTCGACTAGCTGAATTGGATTGGACATTGTGTGTCTATATTGTTTGTGTTGTATCGTTTGTTGTGAGTTACTTTCGTATTTGTGTGACACGTCCCCGGTTTGGTCGTGGCTGAACGAGAAGAGTGACCAACAAATTCGAAATCGAATCTGAGTCAGTCAATTTAGTCGTTTCAACGACAAAGTTTCAGGTGCCGGTAGATGTTTGGGTACCGGTAGGTCACACAATGATACAATCAATCGTCAGTGTACACCCCCACTCTACAGTCTCATTTCTATATATTACATTCCAACTAGCTAGACCTACAAGAACTCGCTTCTACACAGTAAATACTGTCTCACCCGCTCCACCTTTCTCTCCTCCTTTCATTTTGAAACACGGACTGGCAAGTGCATACTCGTCATCTCTTTCCAGCAGACTTCGAATCACTCTCATGACCGATCCAATATGTGGCTTGGGACCAATCATTTCCCGGAACCGCCTTTCATTCAACGTAATTTCTTCCACATGCGATAATCGTTGTACCAGTCGATCCACTTCCTCGGGTTTCAGACTCCAATTGCTATCTCGATCGGCCCCGACCACAATTGTCATTATGTTTTGAATGATTTTCTCATTCACCTTTTGTCGAATCTGTTCTTGAATCAATTTGTGTCGCTTAATGACAGATACCAGTTGATCCACATTTTTGTTCTTAGAGATTTCGTGTAACATTTTTGGTATGTGTTGAAGGTTGGCAACTGTTTCATCCAACCGATCCGAGTTTCTGTGTAATCGCTCATTTTCCTGTCGAAAGTAGTGTATCTTTCGCCGTATTTCATTGTGCTGATGTCGGAGTGTACCAAGTTTCTTGGCGGTTCGCCGTTGAATCAGGAGGATGAAACAGACTAGGATGGTCAAGGCCGAGGCCGTTTGAGCGGTCAGCTCCATGCTCATTTGGACCGTAGTTGTACATATGATGATAGTGATTATTACAAAGCAGTTGATGGAAAAATAGTGCTTGAAAGCCCACAAGAACTGTAAGGTTTGAACCGTAGACTTGACCGATCCACTGTCATCGCCATAGTCTTCTATGTAACCAACGCTTTGGGGTGTGTCGGGACTTGGTGCACGCGATCGCCATCTTAACGTATTTTCTTGCATGTTGTTGTGTTTCTTTCTGTTGGTTATCTATTGGGTTGCTGCACTGACAATGTTGATCGTTCTGGTATCAATAAAGAAGAACAAGAATGGAATCCAAGTTTCAAGTTGATTTGCAACATCCGTTGAGCAGAGAAGATAGCGCGGGAAGATCTAGGTGTTCGGGTATTTAACGGCTACAAACGGTGATATGCAAACGATGGTGGCAACAAATTTGTTGGCTGCCAGAAAAAGTACTTGATGTACCATTGTCTTCAACGAATTCGGCACCAAGCAAAACATTGCCAGAGGTTTCAAATCGCAACCACTACTCAACTTTTCAACGCTTCTAAAAATCCATATAGACTTACTTTGTCAATTCCCGATTCGAAGATGGGAGTCTTCCATTCAACACCAGCCTTCGAAACCACAGAAAATGAGGAGCCATCATCCAGCGCCGCTACGTCTCAGCCGACAAAGGATCCAGACCCAAAGCAAGAGGACGAGACAAAGACGGGAGAAAAAAAAATGTCTAAAAATCAGCTCAAGCGAAAACGCAAATGGGAACAAGCAATGGCAATCAAGCAACGGCGGAAAGATCAAGAACGCAATATTCGACTTGCCCAAGCCAAAGCGGATGGCAGGGATATTGAAATGGAAAAGGAAACACAGGAACAGAACCGTAAAGAAGGAAAAGGATGGGCAAAACGAGATGAAAAGTGGAAACAGTTCTTTGACAAGAATTCTAGCAAGTATGGAATCTGTCTCGACTGCTCTTTTGAAGATGTGATGCAAAAGAAGGAAATCAACAGTCTTGCCTCACAGATTCGATATTGCTATGCTGCCAACAAGAAAGCCAAGCATCCCGTCAGCGTCAAAGCGACCAGTATTGGTGGTATCACGCTGGAACGTTTGGAAAATGTTAGCGGATTTGAATCATGGAAGAACAAGGCTTTTGAGTGTACCCCAGACGACCTTGTGGAAGCCTACGAGAATGACACATCCAAGCTTGTTTATTTGACTAGTGATTCCGAAAACGTATTGGATACACTGGAAGATGATAAAGTATACATTATAGGGGGGATTGTGGATAGAAATCGACTGAAACGAGCGGCCATCAATAGAGCAGAAGAGTTGGTAAGGGATTGTTGATGATTATGACCGTTTTGACTTCACTTGACGGCTAGTATCAGCTTACACATCAGTTTTCTCTTATTGCGCAGGGAATCGCGACCGCTAGTTTGCCAATATCGGACTACCTCAATATGGTCAGCACAAAAGTACTGACTTGTAACCATGTCTTTGAAATTCTACTCAAATACAGAGATCACAACAGCAACTGGAAGGATGCCTTTCTGGATGTGCTTCCAAATCGAAAAGATGCCAAGGAGAAAGATAGTAAATAAAGAAAGGATTTCAGGGGCTAGCATCCGTTTGAGTTAATTCTTCTATATCACTAGAACATGCTTTCAAAACCGTCAGTATCCAGTGCCTTGACGGCTGCTTTGAAGTTCTTCTTGAACTTGGAACCATTTTTGTTCTTCGGGCTGTGCTTAAGTGTCTCCAACAAAAAGAGAAGCAAACTGGCTCGGAATCCTTCTTCTTGTTCAGCTTGTTCCTCGCTCACATTCTTTCCAGCACCACCTGCAAATAGTGACTTGACCAAAGCTGGATCGTCATAGTAATCAAATACATCGGTAAGCAGAAGAGTCAAAAATATCAGACCAGCCTCTTCCATATCTTCGTCAATCTCGATTGCCTTGACAACTGGTACTAATCTCAATGTTTGATGTGTCACCACTAAATGGAACAAGAGTTTGGCCAGGTTCGCAGCCTTTCTTGCTCCCATTCCTTCGAATTGTTTGAAGGCATCCCAATAGGCCAATTGGAAAGAGAACTTGCACTGTGGCTGGTATTCGCAGATGCGATTTGCCAAATGGCCATAGAATCGGTTGTAAGCTTTTTCGCCTTCACAACATGCCATTAGTACACGAACTGTATCCCGCTCACTACGATTCTGCAACATGGAGCTACGGCATAGCTTCTCAAACGTGTCGTCGCAATCAGCTCCACCCATGATGATGCAGAAAATCGATCGTTTTCGGTCAGTATTCATGCGATATTTAGATGCCAATTTCAGCAAAGCCTCATCTTCTTCGGATTTAGCGGAGCTTGATTCGGGGTTCTTCCCCGACTCATTCTGATTTGGGCTATTGCCATCGTCAAACCTGTACTGGTTTCCAACCCAAGAGGCGCCGACCTTCCACCATCGACCTTTGATGTCAGCATCCAGAATGTCTTTCAAACCTATTTTGAGTGACGCATCTGATTTTTTCTTTGACGCAGAGCTCGACTTGATTCGCCCTAGCAGCCTTCTCAACTTTGCCGTCTTTTCAGCGAGAACTTCATCTTGCTTTCCACGTTTGTTGTTTTTCAAGTCGATAATCGCCGAAAGCATGTATTCTGCCCGCGAGGACGAAGCAAGCTTTGATTCACTGCTCTTTTTCTTTTTCTGAACGAGCAGGACAATTTCTTTCAAGGCAAGCGGGTCGTCTGATCGAAGTGATTTACCACAGTGGCAAAGCAAGAGAAGCAGACATTCAATATCAGCTTCCGAGAAATTCTCAATCAAATGGCGGACAATGTCATACATGAATGAGCAGTGGATGACGCTGTAGTTGTATAAATAACAAAGAAGGAGCATCAAGTTGCAAATTTGCTTCTTTTCAAGCTCTGATGAGTCGTCTTTGACGCCTCCTTCAGCCGCTTTGCTTCTGAATGATTTCAGCGAAGCCCACAAGTCTGCAACCACCATTTCTAGCAAAAATTCACAAATTTGTACAGTGTCGCCAGTTTGTATATGAGTACCAACGATACAAGCGACATACACAGGAATCAACCCCTTCATTAGCATCGGGGGTGCAACACAGGCATCCTTGGTGTTCTTCCACAGGACTTTAAACACCAGTTGGGTGGGATGACCAGAATAGATCTTGGCAGCCTGTTGTGCTACGGAGATCAAGGTGTCCTCTGAAAGTCTATTCATGGCATTGTTGAGAGATCGCCTAATCATAAGAAGTTTTTCTTCTTCGTCTTTGTCGTCATCTGCCTGGGCTTTTCGCAAATGAGGAGGAACATATTTCTTTGGCTTCTCTGAAGCATTCGAAGAACCATCCACCTTGTTACCATATATATCTTCCCCAGTACTGGGAGTATAAGTGTTGGCAACATCGTGGTCTGGTTCTTCTTCGCCAGTGCTTCCGCTATCATCGCTGTTAAGAGATTCATCGCTTTTCTGCTCGTCTTCACTCATCGACTTTTCTCCCTCGTCATCACTATCTTCTTTTTCACTTTCGGATTGGTCAGATCCGTCGGAATAGTCTCCCACTTCTTGAGATTTCATGGCTTCCAATTCGTCCAGGACACTATCGTCTTCATCAAGTTCCTCGTAGGAATCTTTCATTGGCACTACCTCTTCCTCATCTGATGATGATTCGTCGTCAAGACCCTTCATAGGAACGATTTCTTCTTCGTCTGATGATTCGTCGTCACCATCTCTATCCTTACTAGCTCGTTTCGACGCCCCACCTTTGGTATACAAGTCGTGATCTGAGTTGGGTTTTGCGACTCTTTCAATCACGTCATCCAGACCATCCAGAAAATCTCCAAAATCGTCGCCAAAACCCTCAAGTTTGGCGTACTCCGTGTGTAGTTTCTTCTTGTCCTTCTTTTTCTTGAAACCTAGTTTTCTCTCAAGATCTTCAATCTCATCATCATCTCGTCGGATCGCAGCTGCAACGTTGGGTTCGAATTTTGCATAACGGTCACTGCTCTCTGGTTTTTCTTTCCGCTTCCCCTTTTTGGTAATTTCTTTCTTGCTCACTTCCTCTTCTTCTTCCGATTCTTCTTCGCCATCACTACTGCGGTTGCTGATTCGATGCACAAGATTGTCCAAGTCATCAAGAAAATCTCCAAAGTCGTCTCCATACCCTTCCAATTTGGCGTACTCCTTGTTCAGCTTGACTTTTCCACTTTTGCCCTTGGATACTCCAAGTTTTGCTGCAAGATCAGCAATTTCTTCTTCATCTCGACGAAGTGCTGCAGCAAAACTTGGGTCCATTCCCGTGTATTGATCATCGGTTTTCGATTGTTTCTTTTTCTTCGATGACGATTCGTCACGATCTTGTTTCTTTTTCTTTTTGGTTACCACAACTTCCTCGGAAGGAGGAATTTCTTCCCCTAGTTCTTCCAAAGCGACATTATTCTTTCCAAAGTTTCGCTTTCGCTTCCTATTTTCCTTTCGTCTTTGTTTCCGGCTTTGTATTTCTGTTATTAAAACCATCTTTCTACTGTCGTGTCGGTGGTGAGTTCTGAGAAGTTGTCATTTTCAATCAAATGGTTGGCTCAAGCGCGAGGGCGCGCATTAACATCGGCTCGTGACTGAATCGTAGTGCGACTGACTGATAAACTCACTTCCAGGTGGCAATCTGACACTTCAAGTGCATTCCCAATAAAAACGACAACAACAACAACGAATTACCATGAAGATCACAGCTGCTAGTTTCCTTTTCTTTATTGGCGTAACCAATGCCTTTGCCCCTCAACCTGTGGCAAGACATCAATCATCACAATTGAACCTCTTCGGAGGCGGCGGGGGTAACAAGGATGGTGCAAAGAAAGCTCCAGGAGGAGGTATGATGGATCAATTGGCAATGTTCAAAAAGGCACAAGAACTTGCACAGAAGAAGAATGAAATTGACAAGCAACTCGCCGAGCAAGATTTCTTTGGAGAATCTGCCGATGGCAAGGTCAAGGCAACTTTCAAATTCGTCCCAGTCAAGAACCCAATGGACCCCAACCCTGATTACGAGGCACAAAAGTTCGAATTCGATGACGCGTGGTATGAAAGTGCATCACCAGAAGACGTTAGTGCTGCAGTCAAGGAAGCAATTATCAATGGTATCAACGAGACCAATGACAGGGTTGCAGAAAAATACCAAGCTCTACAAGGTGACTTGATGGGTGCCATGGGAGGAATGGCAGGAGGAGCAGCTCCAGGAACTCCAGAGCAATAGATAGAAGACCGGCTAGTGTTTAGAATGAACGATATTTTTCAAAACTTTGCGCATAGCTATATTCCCTCTGTAGCAGTCATATATATATATATACATACATATACATATATGTACCTATTATAGAGTTCCAAAATCATGTCAATGTGTTATAAATTCTTGAATGTGCTTTTGAACAAATTTGGAGTCCTGCTATTAGATATAAGTGAATGATTCTATTGTTTACCAGCTGGCACGAACTTCAGCTGAGAACATAGAAAGAAGCTTGGACCATGCAGTGATGTTTAGATAAGCCTCAAGAGTACTGGCATCGACCTTGGAAACCTTCTCTAGAAGAGCGGCATCATCCTTGGAAGGCGCAGTGCCTTGAATAAACGACTTTCCAATCAGAGCATCATCGAGCGCCTTGAGCATTTCGGAGCTGGTCATATCAGCACCCTCAAAGACGCTCATATCTGTTGTCATCGACATATTTGTGTTTGTGGCATCCTTCTTGGGTGCGTTTTTGGCAATCACTTGCATTTGCTCATCAGTAGGTTTCATGGCAGGGAACAACAAGACTTCCTTGATGTTGTTCTTGTTGGACAAGAACATTGTCAGTCTGTCAACACCAAGACCGAATCCTCCAGTGGGTGGAAGACCGTGCTCCAAAGCAGCAACGAAGGAATCATCCATAACCATAGCCTCGTCATCTCCAGCACTTCCAGCCTTAGCTTGTTCCAAGAACAGGTTGTATTGGATAACTGGGTCATTCAATTCCGTGTAAGCATTAGCCAACTAAAGGAAGCGAGAAATGAGAAATGTCAGAATTGTGAAGCAGGCAAAACAAGAGCGTCGTCTTCGATGCGAAAACAAAAATCTTACTTCTCTTCCGGCAGCAAAAAGTTCGAATCTCTCAGTGAGGAATGGCTTGGAGCGATGGTACTTGGCCAAAGGACTCATGATTTGTGGATGCTCAGTGATAAAAGTTGGGTGGATGATGTTGTCTTCCAAGAATTCACCAACTAGAGTATCCAATAGACGGGCAGTTGTGTGTGGTGGAGTGCATTCCAAGTCGAAATCGGCAAGAATATCAACGAGCTTCTTCTCGCATTCTGGGTCATCCATTGCTGGTAGCTTGATTCCCATCTTTTCTTCCAAACCTTCCATCATACTAATGCGCTTGAATGGAGGGGTGAAATCGATCTCGACTTCTGGCATACCTGGCTTGGGAGAGTACTTGATCTTGAATCCTCCAGTAATCTTCTTGACAAGCCCAGAAACAAGTTCTTCGCACATATCCATAAGATCGTTGTAATCAGCATATGCTTGGTAGAATTCCAAGGTTGTGAATTCGGGGTTGTGTGTCAAATCAATACCTTCATTTCGGAATTGACGACCAATTTCGTAAACACGGTCCAGTCCACCAATGACCAGCATCTTCAAGTACAATTCAGGGGCAATACGCAAGTAAAGATCCATACTCAAGTCATTGTGGTAAGTGACGAATGGCTTGGCAACGGCACCGCCTGGAATCATGTTCATCATGGGTGTCTCCACTTCCAAGAAATGTCTGTCGTCAAGATATCTTCGGATTTCGGTAATAATGCTGGAACGAATGCTGAAAACGTCTCTGATTTCTTCGTTCACAATCAAATCCAAATAACGCTGACGGTATCGGGTTTCCATATTGGAAATTCCACCAAGTGCAGAGTCACCCTTGGAAAATGGAAGCATGTGCAAACAGGGACTGAGCAATTGAATTTCGGTAGGGAAAATAGAAAGTTGTCCATGCTTGGACTTTCCTGGGTATCCAACGATTCCAATAATATCTCCATTCTTCAAAATCTTGTGGATCTTGGCAAAGGCATCGGCGTCACCGGCAAAGGTTCCAGGATCACTCATCATTTGCAGCTTGGCTCCATCTCCACGGATATCATAAAATTTAAGCTTTCCTTGGGCACGAAGCGAAACGATACGTCCAGCAACAGAGACCGTCTTTTCTTCCAACTTGGCTCCGTTCTCAGTCTTGGATTCGAATTCGGCGACAAAGTCGGGCAATCGGTATTCGACATTGAACTTGTGTGGGTAAGGATTGACGCCTTCCTTTTGCAATTGTGCGACGGTTTGCTGACGGTTGGCCTTGAATTGAGTAGGATCGGTAATTTCTTCTTCCTTTTCCTTCTTCTTGGGTTGGTTTTGAGCAGCCTTGGCGGCCTTTTCAGCCTTGGCCTGGGCGGCCTTCTCCGCCTTGAGCTTCTTCTTCAAGGCATTCTTGGACAATGGTTGTCCGTTTTCATCAAGGTGGACAGCTGGTGCTTCTGATGACATGGTTTAGTTTGTTGCTGTTGCTGCTGTTGATCTTTGTCTTGTTCTAGTGTGTGAGAAAGGGAAAAAGCAAGTGATTTCCAATGCACGGTTCTTTTTGATGGGGACAAATGAGAATTGAGGTGGGATCCGAAATCTTGCGAGATCCGATCAAATGAATGCTGTGGCGGTCGAACAGTTGGGGGCAGTACCCAGTTTGTCCTTCGTTCTGCCGAAATGGTCCGATGGCTCCAAAAGCAGCGTACGTCTGTCATCATCCGGTGAGTTGAAACCAAAACCGGGCAAGTTACCATCCGTGGATGGCAAAGAGACGAAGGGGCTAGACGAGATTTAGAGCAGCCCTTCGTTCATCAGCAACAACAAATCGAAAAGAAAAGAGCATCAATTATTGGAAATAACAACAACAATAACAATGTCTGCCACAGTTATCGAACCCGAAGGTCGCATTAACGAAGTTCACATTGAAGGCCTTGTACGTTCTTGAAGTTGTATTTTGTTTTGTTTTGTTTTGTATCTGTAGTTTTCTCTTTACTCGATGCTTGCCATGAGATCTCTGACCATTGTTTTTCTTTGGATATTGCTATCTCGTTCCATTCGATCCATCAATCCTTCCATCAATCTTTCAGGCTTTGATGGAAATCGTCAAGCATTGCCATGATTCTCTTCCATCCATGGTCACGGGATCATTGTTGGGTTTGGCTGGAAACAATGGAATTTTGGAGGTAACCCGCGCCTTTCCGAACCCAGACAGTGGTAAGGACGACGAAATAGACGAAGACTTTCAAGTAGAGATGATGCGCATGTTGAGGGAAGTCAATGTGGATAACAATTGCATCGGTTGGTATCAATCCGTTTATTTGGGAATTTACTCCACACAAACCGTATTGGAGAATCAATTTTCTTACCAAACCGAATTATCACCCAACGCTGTCGTCCTATTGTACGATCCCTTGCAGACTGCCAATGGAAACTTTGCCATGAAAGCATTCCGTTTGACAGAAGAATGTGTAGCTATGAAACAAAAAGAAAAGAATGATTTCATCAAGCCTGCTAACATTTTTGAGGAAGTCCCAGTCAAATGTACCAACGCTCCCCTGGCCAAGGCCATGATTCAAGAATGGACACCGACGTCGGATATCGAATTGGACCGACTTGATTTGAGTACACATTCGTACTTGGAGAAGCACTTGCAATACCTGTGCGGTTGGGTTGATGAACTGGCAGGAGAACAACAAAAGTTTCAATACTACACAAGACACCTCACCAAGGGAAACAACAAGACAAAGGCTAGTTGGGACACATCCGAAGCACCCAAGCGAATGGAAAGTTTATTGGTCAATAACCAAATTCAAAATTACTGCGACCAAATGGATAGATTTGCTGGTGGAGGATTGGGCAAACTGTTTTTGGCTGGTGGTCTGCACAAGGAAGATGGGTCGTCGTAGATTGAATGCATGAATAATAATAAAAAAGAAAAAAATGACACGATTAAAAAATTCACTTGAATAAATGCAGGAGACCTACCTTGATACAAGAGTAGTATAGCTTGATATCATGCAAGGCTATATACTAACTCTATCACTGTCTCTGAACTCTGTTTAGTTTATCTAATCTTTCATTTTATGTTTCAAACGAAACTAGGTGTCAAAACCAATGTCTTGGTATATACCCTTCATTTTCTCTTCCACTTTTCGCGTTGACTTTTCGTTGACATCTACCAGTGCCTGTTGAATAGCTGAACTCAGCTGCGAACATCCCTCTTCATCCCGTTCGAGTGTCTGAAAGTATTCTGGGTCGACTTCAACCCCGACTGGTTTCATTTGACCATTGAAAGTAATTTTAACCTTGCCATCAGAAGATTCTCCAGTGAGCATGGTCGTCGATAAATCCTTCATGACATTGTTTGTCCGCTCCTCAATTCGTTGTGATTTCTTGAAGTTTGACATGGAATCAATGACGCTTGCAACATTGCCCAAATTGGTGGATGTCAAAAATTCATCTGACTTTTCCTTCTTTTCATCTTCATTGTCATCATCGCTTCCTCCGAACCATTTGAACGCGTCAAGTGTTGTACCAGTAGATAGGGGAGGAGGAGGATGTTGGAATCTAGTGGTATATGTTGGCGCAAGAGTCATAGTTGACCGTGATGATATAGATGATATACAGATGCAGAATGCGTCAGCACATATAGTTACATATGATGCAAATAGCAATAATGTTGTTGTTGGCATCATATTGGAAAGCATGATAGAAATGATGGAATGCAATATTGTGATCGATGTGAGAGATGTTTTTGCCGCTCATCCAAATCAAAATATTGTTCATAATCTTGGAGTTCTTGTTCCTATCATAGAATTGGACAGGTGCGAGAGTGGTTATTCGGACAGCCTTGAAAGCTGTTGACCTTTGGTCGCGCAGGTTCGAATCCTGTCCTGTCCGGTCTTTTTGCCATTTTTGTACTATTCCATAGGGTTCCGCACATTACTGAAGCCGCCACATTGCAGCCACTCTTGTAGCAAATCTCCGGACGCTGGCATCGTTAGCAGGGCATAAGAATGATGTCGGCTCAGGACTTTTGGTTACTCTAACTTTTTATGATTCCAAAGCAGTCGCTTTTGACGTTTTCACTTGACCACTTGTAGTGTTGGTCAAGTTCATGTTCGCCCTCCATGATACTCTTAGTCTGCAACGTACTCCTTTATGTCTAGTAGCTACATAATGCATAGTATTAAACTTTCATGACGACGACCTCAGCCACTCCTCCAGTCTCAATCCACACTACCAGTGTACCGATGGTTTTCATTCAAAGTCACAATTGCACCGGTGAGGTGGTTGACAACATTCTCCGATAAGAACTTTGTTAGGTACGCTGGTAGCGCAATCCTCAGAATGGATCGTTTGTAGGTACTAAACTACCAAGGCGAACGTAACAACTGATCGAAAGTCGAAATGTTCATGAGCGAACTTCATTCTCTGTTGTCGCTGTAATTATTGTCCGAGGATATTTTTATCAGTGGTACTTATGAATTTACGAATCGCGAAACCTCACCATAGATTGTGGGTCATTTGTGGCCCACCGGAGATTTGTCAAAACGGCAATTTCCGTCGACTGTTTCGTTCTGCTCGTTCGCAAGTGTCTCTCTTCTGCTCAATCTTATCCTTCTGCCTATTTCTTGATCCTTCCATGAACTCACAAACAATCTCTGTCAGCAACATGAAAGTAGCATCCCAACCAAAATCGCTCCGCCTTCGTATGACGCGATTCTTCAACAAAGGGAAGAAGCACGTTTATGGCTTTCCAATCAAGGACGATTGTACTTTGGATACGCTCAATCTTTCTGGACGAAGCCATGACTCCATCAAGAGTATTCAAAGCCAAAGCGAAACGAGATCGGACAGCCTGACTGCAGCTCGTATGAGCGCCTTGAAGCAACTTCAGCAAATTGAGGGAAACAGCCATCCTGATGTTTTGTTTGCCATGAAGTACCTGGCTCGAGCTCATCGTCGAAATGGGGATGTTGTTGTTTCAGAACAAATGGAGGAGATTATCCACAGTCAGCATATCATCCAAAGCCAGAGAAGCTTGGTATCGCTTTGATCAAATTGGTGATGCTTCGATGACCGATCGCAGCAAGATACGCGAAAAAGAAACAGTCGTGCATCGATTGTTCATAGTGACCGATGACAGTGATGCGATTCTTGCTTGTATAAATATCATGAACTCAACGGATCGATTTTAAAGTCTTCGGAGGTCAAAACAGATGTGAGCTCTCGTGGACTCTTTGCGAAGAGTCATTCATTCCATCATAGAATTTTGCAATTGTAACATTATAAATTTAGTTTGCATAGATGAATAATACGCGAGCATTAATAGAATTTCTGTACCTACAGTCGACAACTCGACAAGATGAGGAACTTCTACGTCTATGAGACTCATGCATGGCTCACAAGAAATAATTACTAGTATCATCTCAGATTTATCTTCCAAGTGCCGGGGCACCACTGAACCAGGTACGGATCGTGTACACTTGGTATCCTGTAACACCCATAAACAAGAGGGTTTCCAGGAGCGAACTGAGCACCATGCGGGAATGAGAGTGCTCGTTTGTCTCTGCATGCATAGCTAGTCGGCGGCGTTCCTTTTGCTGCATTCCTTGAATTTCGTTCAAAAGGCGACGGAGTTCCTTTACTTTTTCTCGGGTTGATTGGAAATCCTCTTCCTTGATCCCTTCTTGTGCGGCGGTGTCTTTCTCCAACTCTCCATCTTCTTCAAGCATCTCCTTCAATTCCCATGTTATCACATGACCGTCTTGGTCAACAGCTCCCAATCTACTTTGTTTCCGCATTTCAAACTCTGCAATGACCTGTGTGCAAACAAAAAACATGTAAGAGTTTGTTCATGCGACAAGCTTTTGCTCATGCTTGCTGGTTCCATTCGCAGACTTTGTGAAACGAATAAATCGAAGTTCGCACCTGGTTCCAAGTTGCCTCCACACAAGCACGATACCATCCCGCTTCTGGAGCACGTGCTGTGTAGACGACGGGTTCTCCTTCTTTGAGAATCCGTTTGTGTTGAGCAATTCTCCTTCTCTCCTTTTGTCGTTTCACCTCAAGGAATTTTTCTCGTTGTTTTTGTCTCTTCAATCGCTTCCTCTCAACTGCATCGGGATCATCGGGGTCAATTGGTTCTTCGTCATCTGATGACATTTCTTCTTCGTCTTCAGACTCGTTCATGTGCTCAAAGTCCACCATTTCATTCACACTCATTAGAGCATTGTGGGCTGTGAATTTTTGCTCCAAGCGATACAATTCTCCTGGATCTTCAACACTTGCTGGAGCAATTGGCCCTTCCAATCTTGCTGTTGCTTTCAATTCTGATCCTGAAAGAATAAAGACACTCATAGTCACAGCTTCCCTGGTATTCAGTTTGTCACGTACAATGATGATAAAGGCGAACCACACGTCAAGAAAACATCGTTAGCATTCTGAATTGCGGCCACTATTCAAAATTACATGATCATTCCTTGAGCTGATGGATGGATCGGATGACTTACCCTTCCTCCAAGGTCTCGTAAAAGCACTCATTGGCTCGTTGTTTTAGATTCAGTTGCATCGGAATACTCCAGGCATAGTTGCCGAGGCACGCTAAGGCCACAATATTCCTTAGTCGTTGCATGATTCTGCAAGTATCCACTGATTCTCCTACTTTGATTAACTGCTTTTGTTGGGTCTTGCAACTACTGTACTGTAGTTGCTCACATCACTGTTCTCGCAATGATGATCGTTGTGAATCCAGTCGATCTAGTCGACTGTGGTCTGTACGACGATGATGTGGCGTACGTATGTACATCAGTTCGGAAAAGAAAGATCTGCAATCATCAATCAATCATCTTTGACATCCAACATCCCACCACCAACAAATACCTGGTGCAAATGTCTCGCTGCTGTGGTATCATCACGGTGTCCAAGCTTGTGTCTTCTTCTGTATTTTTGGGCTTTCTCCTTTTTCAAACATGTACAGCCTTTATTACTACCTACAGTCCTATCAATGCGCAACATTACAGTCTAGGATCTTCGAGGCATATCCAAGGTGCTGGATTCAGTTCGTTTGGAGTGCAAGAGCAATTATTTTCAAACCGAGCAGGATTTACCAACACTCGTCTCAATATGATGGATGACGAAGGCAACGGACCTGGAACTTTGACATCGATTGGAATTCTGCTGATCATGATTCTTTTCGTTGGTACTGGGTTGGCCCCAATGATGGGTGGAGGTGACAGAGATTTGAGCATCGCTGATTCAGTTGTCACTCGACAAGATTCACCACAAAAACTGAAAAACTATGAATCGACCCAAGATCGTCTATCTAGAGCAACCATCCAGGAGAAGTTGAGCGCTGTTCCTGTGTTTTACTTGAGTGAGGGTGGAAACATGCAGACCGATATTTTCCTTTCTTACCAAGAAGCCAATGATGTAGCTGCAGGCAAGAATGGAGTTTCTGTGAAGGTGACTTCATTGGATCAAGTCATGTAAGGATTGTTGCAGTTTGTTCTGCGTTACGTTTATTGAAATAACAAATTTCCTCCTGATACTTGGTGTTCTGCATGGAAATAGGTATCCCCTAATCTTGCAACGAGGACGAATGCGAATGGCTCCACCACCACCAGAAATCGAAAAGGCAGAAGCACAACTGTCCGAAAATCCAGGGAAAAAGTACCGATTGATTCCATCCAAGCCATCTGTAGAGCAGGCCAATGAATACAAGTTGAACCTCCTAGAAAATGATGTCCCACTCTTTGTGGCTGATCGATTGGCCTTTGCAGGCTCCAAAGGACCACAATTGCCTCTATTTGTTGACAAGAGTGATTGCATGCTCAGCTACCAACGCCTGAGATCTGGAAAGAGTAGTTTGCCGGAGCAGCCAAATATTCGAACAACTACGTTGCTGGACGAGCTTTATTCCATGGAAAAGGGGACGAGACCCGGTGTTTCTCAACTAGCCTTTTATGCTACAGCTGAAGACGTGAATCAAGCTGCTTCATTATTTGATACTCTGAGATAGACTTTTAAAACCTACGTACTGTAGATTTACTACTAATTTTACCGAAAAAATCGTGAAAGGGGCTGAACAAGTCCCAAGGTTTCACTTTTTCGATCTTTTGAACCTCACATAACAATGACGATAGAAGAAACGGTCTCGTTGTCCTCGGAAAGCTACATGGATGGTGAACCGTATACCATTACCAAGTAGCCGCCCTTCCAAGCAAAAGAATGAACGTTTGCTTCTTCCTGTTATCTTGAGTGCTCTCGCTTCCCTCTCTTTCATTCTCTACTTCCACGTGCAACATGACAGGAGCATCTACCATGCCATTTCGGCGGAACTTGGTCATACCGAGCGAACCTTTGATGAACCCGAAATAGGAAACAAAGCAGTCCTTAAGATGGAAGAGAAGCTCAGCGCTGTTGGTAATGCTGGCGAGCCACTACCAATTAGAAACGAGACTGGCGACGTTTCCTGTTTTCCATCCAACACGGAACAATGGCTTGATGTGGGCAGCAAACGCCTCGGGAATATGAATGATTCCTCTATAATAGGGAGCTATGACTTGGTTTCGAAGAGCATCTTGAACATCAATAACCTACTTCTTGAAAGCAATACACATTCCTTGAATCTCTTGCAGCAAACCCTGTGTCATTCAAAATCGAAGCTGTTGGCATTGGATGCAATCGAAAGAGATTCATACAAGAACCCAAGTGAAAGAGATATCAAAACTTGGGCGTTTCGCCTGATTTATATGGCCACCCATATCCACCAGCACTTGCCTGCCCTTGCCGAAGCAAGAGATCGATTGAAACATTCCCAAGATTGTAAGTCGGAGATGGAGTCGAAACAAATCGGCAGATTTGATTTTGAGTGTCCAAATGCAAAGCTCTTGGTCGTTTCACTTGGAAAACTGGGTCTTGGTGCCGTGATACGCCTCGGAGCGGTGAATGCTCTAATTGCTGGTATTGCGTCCAACCGAACGGTGCTCTTTGTCAATAATGCAGATAATGGTGCAAAGACCATACGAGAACCTTGGCCACTCTCTTCATGCAAACGAATGGATATGCAGTGTTTCTTCATGCCAGCAACACCCTGCACAGTAACCGAAGGGGAGCTTCGAAACGCAAAACTATTGCAACGTGGGGATATGCGAAAACTGTTTCGTACAGGGGAGCTTGACAGCGACTTGGAAAAACAGCGGGTCTTGGTGATGAACCAAGTTCTGAGACCACAACGAACCCCTCCCCTTTTGCGGCAGAACATAAAGAGGATTATTGACGAGCAAATAATCCTCCCACTTCAAGTGCAGCGACCAAATGATCCACTCCTGGAAGTGCTATCGAAGGCAGCAAACAGGACGCTTGATGATGTGGTAGTTGACGAAAAGCAGTACTCGTACTACGGCAAATCATCCAACATAAATCATGCACTGGTATTCTATATGCTGAGACCGAATCCTTATTATGCGAAACGGCTAGAGAAAATCTTGAATGAAACTCTTCAGCCTGGTTTCGATCCGAATATGGCCATGGGCTTGCCGATTCGAGCTTCAGACAAGTGTAACACAGAATCAGAATGCCTGAAGTTCGAACAGTACATGACTCTAATGGATCGAACTTGGGAAGATCGCAAGTCGCTGTTCTTGGGATCTCCAACAGGTAGCAACGGACAAAACGTTTTCCAACTGGAAAAGCCAAAGTCAACAATTCTTGTCACGTCTGAATCACCACAAGTGCATGATGAACAAGAGCTGTTCTTGAAAGAATCCGTCGAAAACAACAGATCATTCCCTTTTCAGTTGGTGAACAATAATTTCGATTTGCATCAGGGAACCGGAGATCCAGCATCGATGGACTCGAGTGGGAAGAATGTGTCACTTGAAGATATCATGCTGTCTTCAATTTCATCTCTACAGTTGCAACTTCGAGCTAGGTATACAGTGGGAAATTGTTGTTCGAACTTCCACTTGCTCCTCTTTGATTTTTTGGAAGAGGGCTGTGGTCCTGTGAGGGATCATCACCCTGAATGCTTGCAAGATAGTAAGTATCCAGAGTATCGTTTGTGTTGCTTGTGGAGCAAAAACGACGAGTGTATGCAAAAGAAAAATGCAACATCATAGTCGGCTGGAACTTTGCTCTTTGTCCCAATGATTTGAAATTGTGCACAACTTGGCGTGCGTACTTTTTAGCTCTGCGTCATGCATCAGCACAGACTCTGAACTCAACATCCATTCTACTGAAATGCGACAGTAAATGAAAAGTGTACTTCGAGTTTCGTTGTCTGCGGTTTTCCTGCAATTCTGCCTGATTTCATCGCTTGGCCCGCAGATATCAGGATTCACACAAAGGATTGATGGTAAAAAATGGTGGTCATTTAGAGGTTTCAACATTCATGAAACGAGCCATCACTCCAAATTCGAGACTCAAAGTCGATTGCAGTCAACCGCAGAGGCTGATGAAACGAAAATCCAAACTGATTCGTCATCCCCAACTTCTTTTCCTGCTCGTCTTGTTCAGGCGTTGGATCTTGGGCCCGTGATTCATCTCGTGGCACTTCATACTGCGAGTAAAAGAGGATATGACGCAATGCTTTCTCTTGTCAATGACGAAAATAATCCATTACAAGTAAATTCACTGAATCAAGTCTCAACAGGGACATCAGCCCGCCAAAAAAGGGCTTCCACACTTGGTTTCAGTAGAAATTCTAGACTCAGACGAAATGGCAAAAATAAGGCCTCAAGTTTTGTTTCAATTGCTCAGTCAGCAACCGAAGCGAGGGAAGCATATGAAAGCGTGGAGCAAGCCACTCTCGCACTTGATGATAATGACTACAACTTGATTGTGCCCCCTTTGTATGCACAAGATTCTGGGCCAATGGATACGTCAAAACCAACCACAGATGATAACGAATGGCTTGATCTGGACCCTGAATCATGGACCCTTGAATCAATAATACAGGCTGAGCAAGTCATTGGTACTCTTGTCAAAGTGCGCGATTGGGCGTGCTTGAGTCAATACGAGACTTGGATGCCTTCTGTGGCGGCAATAGGAAGAAGCATAGATCCAGAACATGGACTCGATGTGATCTTGCAGGACATTCTGGATGTTGTTAAAATAAAGCGCGCGAGAACGGCACTGGATCCGAAGGGGAAAAGAGTAAGTTGTACGATACTGATAGAGATGCTAAAATGAAAACAATTAATTCTCACTTTGGAAAACCAGTCATACGCTTTTCAGCTGAACGAAGATCGATTTCCATTGCTTGGAATATTGAAGCAAAAAGAGCGCCAATTGCTAGGTCGAGGTGGCAAAGACTTCGACAAAGCTGTCGTCGATGTGCGGTCCGAGATCGAAATTAAGGAATCTCAGATTCGGGTAGGGTTGGCCCAGTCCATACTTTTTGGTGCAGCGATTGTTGACGATGGGCTTGATAAGGTCGCAACACTTGATATCATTTTTGCAAAAGCGGCATTTGGTAAAGCAAATCAGGGAGTAATGCCAAAGATATCAGACACTGGTGGTATTTCCGTTTCTGGTTTTGTGCATCCACTTCTTGCTGCTAGCAACTGCGCGCAGTCTCGTGACGAAGCCGTTCCAATCGACCTTGAACTCATGTATGGCGATGAGAAGAGAGCGCTAATACTAAGTGGGCCAAATGGAGGAGGGAAGTCACAATCATTGAAATCCTTTGGCGTTGCTTGTATTATGGTCAAGCTGGGTATTCCCCTCCCAGTTGAGGATGCAAGTAAGAAACCGAGAGTCGATTATTTTCATAACGTAATGGCGAATATCGGAGATCAGCAAGACATCCTGGAAGGGGAATCCACGTGGACAGGAACACTGAACTCGTGCGCCAGGATCATTGAAACGTTAGCCTCGGGCCCGCAAAACTGTCTATCGCTGGTCCTATTGGATGAATTCGGGACTGGTACGGACCCTGAATCTGGCGGTGTAATTGCACAAGCAATCATGGAACATATGTTGAGTTACTCAAGCTCGCGGATTGTAGCAACGACACACTCCCCTAGATTGAAGACAATTTCGTACAACAGCGATCAAATTCAATGTGCAACGGTACTGCTGAAACATGGTGTAGAACTGAATGGCTATAAGCTACCGAGTTTTGAGCTACAATACGGAGTGATCGGGGATTCCTATGCTTTAGGAGCTGTGTCACGGTCCAATCCTCGCCTACCAGATACTGTTATTTCACGCGCGTCGCAGTTATTCACTGAAATAAATGCAGGTACTGCACACGATTATCACCGAAGCGACTATATCCAGGCCTTGACCTTGTCGATGGAGACCCAACTTGAAAAAGCTGCCAATGAGACTCTTGCCATGAAGCAAAACATGAAAGATTCAAGAAAATGTCGGTCGGCAATGCTGTCGCTCGCGGCATCTTATGAGTTGCATCTGTCACGTTTGGAAGGTAGGTTGCAAAATGTTTATCAGCAACTCCAGAAAGAAGGAAAGGACAATTTGGATTTGGTTGGTGAAACCCTGTCAGAGCTTCGAGTGGTGCAGCGGGAGGTTCTTGGGCAGAGAGAACTGCTAAAAGAGCGTGGCCTTAAAATTCTTCCAATTTCACATGAACTGCAGTCTGGAGAGTCTGTTGTTATATTTGGAGAAGGAGACTTTGATGACATGTCCGTCACTGTTATTGCAGATAGTGCAATGGATCCATCACTTGCTCCAAATGAAGTGTTGGTTAGTCAATCCTGCTTTTTCGGCTTCGAGATGTTTGACGATGGTGAACAGGAGTCCCAGTTCGTAGTCCAGAGGCACGAACTTGCACTCTGGGACTACGATGCTTTGGAGGGTGACGACACAAGCAAAAAGTGGATAGCTAGCACAGCGGAATCCGAAAGAAATTTGGCCTCCGTCTTTGCTTCTTTGAAGACGACGCCGAAACAGGGACCGAAGCAGTCAAACACAGAGACGACAACTTCAAAGGTTTTTTCATCCCGCGAGCGAAAAGCAGCGAAGAAGAAAACCAAAGGATCCAAGAAGGGAAAGGCAAAGAAATAGTTTGCAGGGATAATGTAGAATAGAAATGAGTTGGAAGGAAACGAAGTCTCTGTCAGTTTGTTGGTTCAAGGTACAATTAGTCTGTCTCCTGTAATGATCATCGTTGCGATTGATCCGTTCCAAGTGGTCCAATCGACTGGTTTGACCAAAGCAAATCAGACCCGAACATCCTCCATCCACAATTTTCTTCAACCTTCCATCAATCTATAGACCCAAAGAGATGGCTCCAATATATGGCCAAGTGGTAGCTGGTCCACCGGGAAGTGGAAAGACTACCTACTGCACAGGAATGGAGGAGTATCTACGTTTACTGGGGAGAGAAGCCTTTGTCATCAACCTCGATCCAGCGAATGAAATGCCCAGCAGATTGGCTGGCAAGAAACAGAAGAGCGATGATGGAGAGAAAGCAGAAGACGACAACGACGCAACTGCTCTACCTTATGAACCACTTCTGGATGTCTGTGAAAGCGTGGTGAATGTAACTTCTGTCATGAACCAACTAGGGCTTGGTCCAAACGGGGGACTGGTGTACTGCATGGAGTATTTGGAAGTGAATGTAGAGCAATTGGTTGAAATGATTCGAGAGAAAGTGGCAGTGCACAACAATCCATATCTCCTTTTTGACTTACCGGGGCAAGTGGAGCTGTATTCTCACAGCAAAGCTGTTCCTAGATTGCTGGAAAAACTCGTCAAGGCATTGGACCTACGTCTAGTGGCTGTCCAATTGATCGATTCCCACTACTGTACGGAACCAGCCAACTTCTTATCAGCAGCCTTACTGGGAACCACAACCATGTTGCGATTAGAACTACCAACCGTTAGCGTGTTGAGTAAAGTGGATCTCCTAACGAACTATGGCCCATTACCTTTCTCGTTTGACTATTTTACGGATTGTCATGAACTTGATCGATTACTGCCCTTCTTGCAACAAGGAGGTGACTTTCAACAAAAAGACGACCTTGCCCAAGGCGTTGACGAATACTACTATACTGACGACCCAGACTATCAAGCTGCTAGAAGAAGAACGAGGACGACACCCTTCTTTCGGAAGCATGAAAAGTTACACAAAGTATTGGCCGAGGTCGTTGATGAGTTTGGGCTGCTTTCGTTCTTGCCATTAGACATTTCTGATGCCGGGTCTGTCGGGCGTGTCTTGGCAAAAATTGACAAATGCAATGGCTACATGTTCGTCGATCAAAAGAATTCAAAAGCTGAAGATATGTTTAAATGTGCTGTTCAATCAGACCATGCATCAAATTATGAGGCTATTGCTGACATTGAGGAGAAGCTATCAGCCGCTCGGGAACGTCAGCAAAGTGAAAAACCACAGCAGCAGCCCTCGGGTATGAATACGTTATTTGAGAACGAACAGATAAAGTAAAGCATTATAGTTGAGATTTACTACTAAGATACACAGTTTAGTGTTACATTTCTACTTTGTCTCGCTATCGCAAACTTTCAGCGCAAAAGCATCTATGGACACATATTGCACGTCATTACTCCGGGACCATACTGTACGGTACCCAGAAATCGCAAACAGTCGATACGAACCTATTTTCTTTTGCATCACGCTGATGGAGCAGCGCCAGCAGATATGGCTGCTTTCTCAATTTCGGCTCGAGTCCGTGAAGCCGATTGACCGTTTACCAACTTTTGACGTTTGGAGGCGTGCGTCGTATTTGACTCTTCGTTTGACGCAACCCTGCTCGAAGCATCCGTGGTGAAGTATTCGTTGACTTTTGCTTGCGCGGCTTGAATGATCCCACTTATATCAGCGTGCTCTCCAAACACCTTAATGTATTCGTCTACGTGCTCCAGAGGATTCGACGTTGCTAATGAGTCATGAAGGGGTACAAAGCCAAATGCTTTTCTACCATGTCTCTGTTGATGGCCATTCGTTGCAAAATACAACGAGATTTGCTGTTTGCAGTTCTCCAAGGAATAAAATCCTTCCAAGTTGAGTTTATTGAACAAGGCTCCAATGACTGGGACTTTCGCTCCTTCTAAATAGGTTGCATTCAGATTGTAGGCGTCAACTGCCCCACCAACACCACTTCCACCAACGACCAAAGCTGGTGCTGGTATTCGCTTGCCCGACAATGGATCGAGAGGACCAGACGCTCTTGCGACAGAAGCATTGTCGGTCCCACAAATACTTCCCACTGCAGGAAAGCCAACTCCATCCACAATCACAATCTTCTTTCCTTTCGCCACCTCATCTACTTTCACTTCTACCTTGGCCAAGAGTTCGGCGGAGGATTCTGTCTCTCCAGCGAGAAAGGCCCGCGTAAAACCGCGATAGTAAACAATGGGTCCAATGGGAACACAGTCAATACCCATGCGTTCGCAATACTTTTGGACCAGCTGAGGCGATTCATTTTGAGTGGCAGGCTTGATGTACGCCAGCGATTCGACTGGATATCCCAAGGCCACTAGGTTGCCCAAGATACCCAAACAAACACTAGTCTTTCCGACTGACATGCGATCACCCGCAATGAAAAGTCGAAGCGCACCAGAGCCGTCCGCGTTATCAGATGACAAAGGACGAGGGATAGTAGGAGGCACTCCGTACTTTTGAAGATTTTCGTTCAATTCCTGATGGACAGCATGAAGAAAGTCTAGTGACCCGCCTTTGAAATAGCTCCCTATCTGTTTTGCGCTCAAGGAAGATAGATATTGGAAAACCGGGGCCTTCATGGACGTTTTGTGAATATAAAATAGCACTGCTGGAAGATCTTGAGGAGGACAAGGAAGCTTGGAGTCCAAGCAAGCTTCGATGTCTCCTTCTGCTTCAAACTCTATCTCCAGTCTCCCTTTTATGTACTCGCTGTTCTTGGGTATTGATGGTGATGCCAACTTTCCAAGCAGAGCTTGCACGGTCGTATCTTTTTGCCTTGCAATTTGCTGGTTCCAACAACCATGAACAAGATACAATCCAATATTGATGTCAAATTTTCGGTGGTCCATCGCTTCTTTTAGCAACCTTTGGCACAGGCTTTCTTCATTCTCGGGATTCCAGGGCGACCAACCCGCATTGGCTATCCCATTATTGTCAATTTCCATGGACATTACAACAAATGCCTTTGTGAAGTACGATTCGAGTAATGTTCTCCAGTTTTGATTGACTTTTTCATCACTCTTGATACTGACTTCATCAAAAGAACTCTACGACTCATAGGACCAACAAGTTGACCCATTCGACAGCTTTTACATTACAACAACAAGTTTTCATTTGCACATGTTTGACGACCCTCTTGTTGCGGCTGAAGAAAGAAAATGATTCGACGACGAGGGCAAGAGCCAAAGGAAGAAGATTCTTCTTCTGATGAAGAAGATGCATTTGCAGCTCTGTCAAAGAAACGCGGCGCAAAACGATCGAAGCCTTCCATCGAATCATCATCGAACCATCACAACCACGATCCTGCTCCAAAGATTTCGAGTATTGAAAAGCCGAAAGAAAGTGTTAAATCGGTTGCTACTTCTACCAATGCAATGGTACTTCCAGGGTCAGTGACGTCTTCCATGAAGAGGCATCACAAACCAAACGATATGCGCAAGGCCAAGATGGATGCACTCTTGGAGGAGCTCGCAGCCGAACAGATTCATCGACCCATTGAGAAAAAATCACGATCGCAACGATTTGTTCCAGAAAAGAAGGGTAGCTATGTAGACCCTGCAGAGGAGCACTTGACAACCAATATCTTTGTTGGAAATCTGGATCCGTCGTTAACAGAGTACGTTATCATTGCTTATTGGACCGAGTAGTAAACAATGGAGGTGATGCTCATACTTCCAATTGTTTGTTTGCCTTTTTCGACCCTTAGACATGAAGTGAGAAGTCTATTTTCGAAATTTGGTGAGCCCAGTGGACTGTTGTGTGTTTCTTTGTTTGGATTTATTTTTCATTCTTCTCTGGGATGAGTGCACGAATGGTGACTTGGTATTCTCCGTTGTATCGATTGTGATCTAATCCCTTTTGTCAGGTGAAGTATATTCCATGAAGATCATGTGGCCGAGGACCTTGGCGGAAAGGAGTCGAAATCGACTGACAGGTAGGTACAGAAGAAAAAGGGTGCACAAATGAAATTTGCCAGATGCCAGTGGCAATTTTTCTTTTTTTGTCATTCATGCAAGCTCACGATAGATTCTTCACATTTTCGAAATACCACCGCGGCTATTCGCCTATATCAATAAAAGGATTCGTGTGCTTCATGAATCGGGCGGATGCGGAAGCGGCAATGGAGGAGTGCAATGAGGCTGACCCCTTCAATGTAGGACGCCTCATTATGTTGCGATGGGGAAAGAGCGTCAAAATATCCGACCACTCGGGCAGTTTTTCAGAACATATACGAGTGGAACTCCCTGTTGGTTTGGAAAGATTTCATTTCATTAGTCGCGTTGCAAAGTTTGTGGCTGATAATGGATCCAAAGCTGAAAGTCGATTGAAGGACAAGGAATTTGCAAACCCAGCCTTTCGATTCCTAACGTTCAACGGTTCCAGGCCAGAGCAAAGGCGAGAGCATCTATTTTACCGATGGAGGGTCTACTCCTTTGCTCATGGTGACAGCTATTCAGAATGGAGAACGAAACCCTTTCAAATGTTCGAGCCTCATGGTCGGACGTGGATTCCACCACCAATTTCCAAGAAACCAGCGGATGCCTCGAAGCAAAAAGATCAAAAAGATGACTCGAATGACGGGGCCTTTATGACTGGACGACAAATCGAACGCGCTAGAGGAGGTGGAAGAAAGGGTGATCGTGCTGGAGCGGTGGAAGGCCGAGCCGTATTGAGCAAAAGTGAACTCGAACGTTTTGATACTTTGATTCGAAAGCAATTGACTGTTTCAAGGAATACAATCTGCGAAGCAATGGCATTTTGTTTCGAGAAAAGTGCTTCGGCGCGGGAAATCGCGGAGATGCTGAGGGACTCTTTGGTTGAAGAAGCACCTAGGCTTTCAATCGACGCCAAGACAGCTCGACTCTATCTGCTATCGGATATCTTGTTCAACTCCCAACAACCGGGAGTGAGAAATGCTTTCATGTATCGTGATGCCATTGAAAAAATGGCTGCAGAAGTGTTCACAAGTCTTGGACGCTACAATAGTGGCGATGGAAGAATGACAATGAACAAACTTCGAATGGCAGTCAAATCGGTGCTTGGTGCATGGACCGAATGGAGTGTCTACAATCCTACCTTTATGGATGAACTAGAAGCAAGATTCGAAGGGCAAGAAATCAAGAAGGAAGTCGTGGAGATTGTAGAGAAAGCTGATGAACCAGAAGTTGAAGATGAAACCAAACCAGAGCCTGTTGAAGTAATTACCACTGCTCCACAAGGAGGTTGGACAATGCTCAGTGAGGACGCAAAGAGCGATGCGGCTAAGCGAAAGAAACGAAAAAAAGCCAAGGCCAAGAAGAGTGATGAAATATTGAATGCACTAGATTCAGATGACAAAGTGTCTCCTCAAACGAATGGTGAAAAGACTCGTAGTGGTAAGTTTGGCAATTCACCAGTCGAAATGGATGGGTCGCCAATCGATGCAAACGACATCGATGGAGAACCAATGGACTACGAGAACGATGATGGTGAAATAGCAGAAGATGAAGGGAAAGAAGATGACAATCAAAGTGAAGCTACTGAGTATGATGAGCTCGATGGAGCGCCATTGACAGACTCTGACCTCGATGGTGAACCTCTTGAATATTTCCCTGGCTTTGGAAAAGATGACCAAGTCCCACTAGCTCCAGGTGACGGGGTCGAGACCAACAAGGATGATATCGATGGTGAGGCTATCGACGGAGAGGCTTTGGAAGACGAAGACACGAAAGGTGACTCCACGGGCTGATGGCTGCTAGCAGCGAATCAGCAGAAGTGAGGACTGCCTCCTTGATTCCTCCATCATTCGTCCTCCGGCATTGCCCAACTTCCCGGTTCTGAATATTCTGGAAGCCACCGTATTGGCACTTCTGTCCCATCTTCACGAGTAATCGTCCAGGGATCTTCGTCTGTATTGCCTGGGACGATATTGTCGGAAAGCGCAATCGCGACGGTCGATCGTAGGAGACCAAAGTCTTCAGCGTCTCTTCCATTTTTTAATGGAACTCGTAACTGGTGATATATCTTTCCAGTGTTCTTAGATAAGGCTAAATACGAATAATCAAATGGTTGCGTCATTGATCCTCCAAATGCAAGCTCACCGTCTACCGGTACCAATGAGTGAAAAACTATAGGTGTACACGCCGGTCGAATGTAGTTGACTTCCAAACCACATAGCGAAACGAATGGGTAATCCCCTTCCACTCCCGACTCCTGTAGGAAACCAGATTCCCGCTGCCCAGTATACCGTACATTGCGAAAGAAAAAGTTTAGAAATTTCGGATCTTTGATCGAAGATGCGATATTCTTTGGAAAGGTTTGTTCTGAGAGAAATAGTGAGTTGAAGCCGCTTCGATTGACATGGCTGTATTCAACAAGGAACCTACCGAGAAAAAGGCGCCCATTCAAATCAATATTATAAAAATATCTTCGAGTCTTTCCGCTGGCAGCCTTGTCATAAAAAGATTCTTCTTTCATGATCGACTCAAACCTGAAACAAGAGTTGGGATTTTTTAGAAAGTTGCTTGATATGGTTGAACTCTTATGGATTACATTGCAGTCTTCTCACCATTGATCAATGTATTGCTCTTTTATCAATCGAGGGGGGGTCGAAGAGATGTACCGTTTTGCTAAGACATGACATCTTTGGTGTGATATTCCAATCATGGTTGGAAATATGAAGGGTGAAGAGATCTTTTCCAATTTCTTGGGGAATACCTTAGTCGTTTTTGACTTCCATTGCAATGGAGACAGTATCTACCAGTACCTGTTCCAGCATACGGTATACGAGGTACAGTCGCTACACTATATTCCATTGCCAGTTGCTAGAGTACCAGGTTCGAGCTACTAAAATGCTGTGGTAAACAGAGTAAGATCGTGGGGCTACAAACTAGAAGATAATCAACAACAAATCCATCGCATAGCTAAACATGAATTTTCCACGCTCTCCATTCCACTTGTCCGAGCCAAAAGGCTCTCCACCATTTCTTCCGGTTGACTTAAACTTTTCTTTTCTATTTCTTTGTGTTTACTGGAATTCGAAAGTAACTTGCTTGTTTGTGAGCTTTCCGTAGACAGCAGCAAAAGTATCAGTGCGTCCCTCAACATTTGCTTGGTCCTTGGAGTCAAGGTACACCTTCATAATTCTCTTTCCGTCAAGCTTTACTCGGGTGCGCTTTCCAACGATCTCAGTAGGATAGCAGATGTCCTCCAAGATGGCGTCTTGGACGGCAGTCAATGTGCGGGATCGTGGGCGGGGTCCACTGGTTTTTTGGTTACGGTTGAAAGACTTGCCCAAGATGGTACGTTGTCCAACAATCAAGACGTGACGTCCAGAGAATTTCTTTTCCAATTCACGGACAAGTCTTTGGTGGATCTTGTTGACGGATTTCAACAGTTTGAATGGGACGTACAGGATGATGGCCTTGCGTCCATCTCCACAGTCAACCTCCTTGGCGGCTGTGATGTAGATGGTGCGAAGAGAAGCCTTCAACTCTGTGGAGGTCATCTCAAGGTTGAGAAGCTCGTTGGCAACAGACTTCTCGAATTCATCGGGTTCCTATTGAATTAACAAAAAGCATAACAGTGAGAAATGGCCATCCATTGGAAACTAATTTCATCGTCAATGATTGAAAAATATTCATTGTTGCGTCGTAAAATTCCATATCCATTGCTGCTGCGCTACATCCAACTTACACCGCTAGCCTTCTTGATCTTTTGAACACTCATTTTGAATTGATTAGATTTGTTGCTATTGGTGTTTCCTCTTCAATAATTTCCAGAAGCAAAGATGCCTTGTCGATGGACAAACCAAACTTGCCAAACGAAAAAAAAGTAGAGCGGTAAGGTGGTTCTTTTTTAGTTCTTGCTGTGTTCGATTCTCATGACTGAACATTCCCCCAAAACTACTGTAGTCAGTTTCACCCCCGCCCAAAATAAACCACCATCACAACACCAAACCTGCTATTTGAAATTCCTTCGCTTCGTGTGGTTGCTTTTCATTGACAGACTTGGGAACAGCATGATACACAATGCCAAAACGGAAATCAAAAGACGATGAGGATGATGATGATGATGAATATAATCCGGAGGGAGATGATAGCCCAGAGGAGGAACTACTTGGAGTTGACGACGCTGATGACGACTCCAATAATCCTGAAGGAGAGGAAAATCACAAGGGGGGGCAGCCAGATGCCGACGAGAATGGCGAGGAGACTACTGGTGATACAAAGCAAAAAAGAAGGCCAAAGAAATTGAGACGGAAAATACACTACGAGGACCCAGAAATTGATCTGCTACCAAGTCATGAGCGCAAGACCACAGCGGGTGGATATGCTCACACCAACAAGAGTAAAGAAAAGATTTCTATGGCCAATCGAGGGAACACTCCATGGAACAAGGGGAAAAATAGATCCTCAGCTGATAGAGCAAAGATCAAAGCCGGAGTCCAGGCTCGCAACCGAGCTATCAAATTGGAAAAGTTGAGGGTACGTTGTCGTCTTTGAATGTCATTTGTACTACTCTTTGCGGAACACTTTCAAAACTCACATTCATTGGCGTTTTCGAACCAACATTTTGATTTCAGAGACTTGGAATGACGGAAGAAGAATACGATAAAAAGAAAAAGGAAATCAAGTATCTTCGCGAGCGAGTGCGTCGCACAAAGCTTGCAAATGATCGACATGCTGCGGCACAAGCCCAAAAGAAACTGCAGGCTGCAATTGACGCCACATCTGACAAGGTAGGATTCCTTTAAAACGCCTAGAGACTATTGGCTTAGTATGGAAATCACCATTGTCCACAAGATTCTTACATTCCTTTCTTGTGCACCAACAGGTCCCAGTAAAGGAGCTGGTCAAGAAGATCCATGAAGAGGCGGATGAAGAAGTGGTCAAGATCCAAAAGGAGATCAAGGTTTTCTCTGAAGAGATCACTTGGACACCCGTTGAAGTTTGGAAAGAAGGCGATTCCTATGACAAGATCTGTCCTTCTGGAGGCCCAGGTGGTCTCATTTGTTGTCAAGAATGCGCCAAAAAGTATTCTTCCTTTGTAGACGATACGATGAAAGATTTGGAAGCCCAACGGACACACAAACTGGGGAACGAAGTCAAGGAGATTGCTACCCTATTAGAACAGGGAAGAAGTGATTTGGAACGTATTGGCAGCGTTGCCAGGAGAAAGCCACCTCCAACAAACCGACGCATGTTTCAAAGTGATCACCCTAGAGCAACCAGCACTTCGGCTTCAAAAAGTCGTGCATCTTTGAATTCCAATCAGCGCTTGGGAGAGGAAGATCAAGAATGGAATCTAACAAGCACATTTGATATTGTGCAGCCAATGGGAGGCACCGAGGTGTGGGGAGTATAATTAGCATATGGGCATTATGTTATGTTGTATTGGTGCATTATGTTAAAGGACGAAACCAAGGAAGGCACCAGATGCAAAGCCAATTGATGCCATTCTATCAGTCTCCATAAACCGTCTTAGCGTTTCAGGCTTTAGTTTTTCTCGAACGCCATTTCGGAAGTCATTGGCCGCGGTGAGAGCTCGTCGCTTCAGGTTTTCTTTTTCAGATGAAAAATGGTCTGGAATCTTGATCTCGTCCAAAACTCCAGCCGCATTCAAGGCTTCAGTTGCCACAAATGCAGCTCCAGCGACCTTGACGACTGTGACGGCAGACTTGATGGCCACTCTTGACACGCCATATCCGGCCACGGCGCCAGTGGCGAGTTTTCCATTCTCGGGCAGGTCATCATACTTTTTCTTCAAATAATCATATGTGTTCTTAAAGGAACTCTCTTCTGCTCTCGTGGTCGATGCCAACAAAGCAAGAAGCAGAACAATTGAATACAGCGTCTTTGATATAGTTGCTTTCATTTTGATACAATATGGGTTGTCAGAGTTTAGTTTCGTTGTTGTTGCGAAAATAGTTCCACGTTGCGATACATCCGACTCAAATATAGTCTTGCCATGCTTCCGACTGTTTGCAATCCAATCAAACAAACAAAATGGAAACCATCGTATTTTTCCAACCGAACATAGAAAGTTGCTCTACTTGAGTAGTCGCACAACAGCAATCATGTCAGATATGGAAGACGAGGAAAACAGTGGAGACCATAATGTAGGGGAAATTATGACAGCACCTTCACTATATCTTCGCCCATCCTTCTTTCGGCAGACTCGCAAAAAGGGAAAGATCATCAAAACCGTGAGCGAAAGATATCTTCGGGATGATCTTGGCCTGGGATCGTACTTTGTGGACGAGGGTACCAAGAATCTACGCGTGAAAGAAGCAGCAATGGGAAAGCCTAAAGTGATTAGTGATGTCAGCCATCTTTTGACGCTATTGAAGCCCTGCAAACCAAAGAGTGTCGTCATTTGCGATACCAATGTTCTTCTGCACAATTTGGATGTCCTCGAACAAAGTCAATCCATCATGCCAAACTTGGTATTTCCTCAGACTGCACTGATAGAATGTCGAAAGAATAGAATGGTCGCATATGATCGGGCTGTAGAACTTCTAAAAGAAGTTGGGGATAAGAAGGAACGTTGTTGCGTCTTCTTTCCAGACATGCACCATTCACAGACTGCCCATGTTGAAAAAGAGGACTGCGATACCATCAACGACGAGAACGATGCACGGATACGAAATGTAGCAGCGCTGTATGCCCAGAATCTTCAGGAGACAGACTATCGGGTAGTACTTTTGACGGACGATGCTGCGTCAAGAAAGCTTGCACAAGGGGAGAGATATGAGGCCAAGTCCCTGAAAAGCTGGGTCAAAGAACTGGAAAAATCCAACCCTACTGTATCATTGAGCGACTTGGTAGCCCAATATGGAGCACCCGATAGCAGAATGGACGAAGAATCCAACCAGCAATACTTCCCTGCCCATCTGGGTCAATCAGACCTCTCTCTTGGAATCAAAACAGCCAGATTCTACAGAGGCGTTTTGCGGTCCAGAGATCTTGACTCGGCATGGGTGACAATTCGGAAAGGAGAGGATAGGGTGGCAGTAACGATCCAAGGGTCGGTTGATCGTAATCGAGCGGTGGATGGGGATGTCGTTGCAATTGGATTGCATCCCCTCGACAAGTGGATCAAGGCCTCGGATGCGGCATCTAAACCTCCCAAAGAGAAAAATCCAAAAGCCCAGATTGCATCAGAGACGGCAGAGCCATCCCAGAGTGAAATTAGCAACGTTTCTGACACTGTGATGATTGATGACATTGCGGAAAGCATGAGACCGACTGGGAAAATTGTAGGTATCTTGCGGAGGAACTTCACCAATATTAGCGGCTCTATTTTTGAAAAACCTGCACCAGGAGCCGAAAAGAGTACTTCGCCAGGTCTGGAAGAGCGGGGGGCTATTGCATCAAAGCACGAGCGTGAACATGCTGATGGAACTGTAACTTGCGTTTTCTTCCCAGTCGACAAGAAGATTCCTCCAATCTTGGTCCGCACGACACAACGCGACAGATTTTTGAGACAACGCATTATAGTTTCCATGGATTCTTGGCCAGCGAATTCACCATACCCATTGGGCCACTATGTGAAACTACTGGGACCTGCCGGGTCGAAGGATGTTGAGACTGAAGTTCTGCTTCAAGAGCATAGAATTGCACATGAACCCTTTTCAGCAGCAGTTCTTGCTTGCCTACCACCAAGCGACTACAAAATTGAATATGGGCCTGACAGGATGGATCTTAGGAAACTACCAGTGCTCTCTATCGATCCTCCTGGGTGCAAAGATATTGACGACGCTCTCCATTGTATAACACTTCCAAATGGAAACTTTCAAGTGGGGGTGCACATTGCAGATGTGACACACTACGTAAAGGCAGGAAGCGCAATTGATTTAGAAGCAGCAAATCGCTCCACATCAACCTACCTTGTCAACAAGCGTCTAGATATGCTGCCAGCGCTCCTTACCACTGATCTGTGCAGTCTAAAGGGCAATGTTGACAGATATGCATTTTCTGTCCTTTGGGAAGTCACTCAAGATGCAGAGATCATCAATGTGGACTTCAAGAAATCAATAATTCATTCCATCGCAGCGCTGACATATCAAGAAGCACAAACGTATATTGATCAACCTAACAACAAGAAAGAAGATGATCCCCGAGTGAGCGCTGTGAAAGGCCTTGCCTCACTGGCAAGACTCTTCCGCAAGAAAAGGTTGGATGCCGGAGCGCTCACTTTGGCATCTCCGGAGGTCAAGTTCGTCTTGGATAGTGAATCGCTGAATCCTACAGATGTCCAGGCTTATGCTCTGTTAGAAGCAAATGCCTTGGTCGAAGAGTTTATGCTTTTGGCAAATGTGACTGTGTCCAAGAAGATCCTTCGCCATTATCCCACACTTTCGGTCTTGCGACGACACCCTTCGCCAAATCGTTCCATGTTCGAGAGTTTAATCAGCAAAGCAAAGTGTCGAGGTTTTGAAATTGATATCGAGGATTCCAAAAGACTCGCTGATTCCCTTGATGCGGCGACGATCGAGTCAGAACCCTACTTCAACAAACTCCTTCGGATCTTATCTACCAGGTGCATGTCACCAGCCCAGTATTTCTGCTCTGGTGAATACCGACCAACGGAGTGGAGTCACTATGGTCTGGCAGCACCTGTCTACACGCACTTTACCTCACCAATTCGACGATATGCAGATGTTTGTGTTCACCGTTTGCTTGCGGCGGCGATAAATGTTGCACCTCTTCCAGTCCACCTTTCATCCAAATCGTACTTGCATGATTTGTCCGCAAATATGAATCGAAGGCACCGGTCGGCCCAGCTTGCTGGCAGAGCAAGTGTCCAACTGCATACCTTGATATTCTTCGCTGGAAAAAATACAAGCGAAGAAGATGCATATGTTTTGGATGTCGAAACCGCAGAACAGAGCACCCCTTCGTTCACTGTAATCGTTCCACGGTTTGGAATCGAAGGCAGGGTCAGTCTGCCAGTTGATGTCGACGATCCAAAGCTTGTCCGGGTTCCAGAGGAACACAAGATGATCTATGATGGAAAAACTTCGATCCAAGTATTTGACAAGGTTCGGGTCAGCATTCGTGTCCAAACTGACTACGATCATCAAAGAGAGCTCATAATAGAGCTCTTGGATCAAGAATTTGGCGCACTATCGACGAAGCGGAAGGTTGATGAGCCAGTCGAATCAGCCGAAGGCACTCCACCGCGTTCGAAGAAGCGAAAGAAGAATCGAAAGTAGCTTTTAAAAAACCTGATGTCACCAAACCAAACCACACAAAACTTAGTTTAGTACCTCTTCTTTGACCCGTTTGACTACTGGAGTGACGCAAGTTGCCAAGTCACGATACAGATATCAATCATCGTCAAGACACGTCGATCACACGGCAGATACTGAAAACTGAAAAGTCAATCAGATTGAATATCCACAAAATCCTATCCTTCCATCTTTGAAAATGAAAATCGCCGCTGTCTTTTTTGCCTGCATTACTCTGAAAGAGGCATCTTGCTTTACCAGCAGCTTCACTCCTTCATCAAACGGAATTGTTGCCCCCAAGTCATCGTCATCACTTCAAATGGTCGATAGTACGTCAAAAATCGGTCACCCTGCAGCGTCTCTCTGCAATAGAGATTACTCACTTTATCTCATTTTCATCTGTAACTGCAGCCGCCGTCCTTCAAGGAGCTGGGATCGCTCTTTTTGGTCTGGGAGCCGGAATCGGTCTTGTTGCCTTCACAGAAAAACAAGGAGAACGGGGGCGGGAACGCGGAAGTGGTCTCTCCGATTCAATGGCGACACAATTGTCTGGAATGTTCATGGAAGATGTTGAAGTTAGTTCTGTTGATGATGTTGGTTCCCTTGCTAGTCAATTGGAGGCTGCTTTGAAGGCTTCTGGAGGTACATCTGATGAAGAGCTAGAATTGTCTGAGGAAGAGAAGAAGAGAATTGAAGAAGAAGCCGATGATGGATGGTAATTTCCGAAGTACTCTTGGTTACTGGAGACTCGGAACAGACCAAGTGGAAACCAATGAATCCCAGATGTTACATTTTGAATACCTGCGAAACTGGAGAATTTTCGAATACAATAATAGAAACGCACCAAAGCGACGCAAAAACAATGATGCTATACGGATCAATGCTGATAATAAGAACTAATCATTGTCAATCATACAGTCACTACACTAACGATGTTTCACTCCTTCGAACTATTGCTTCATCAAGATGATTGCATTCGATTTGTGTGGTACTTGTTCAGTCCCTAAGAGACTTAAAGCTGCAACACAAAACCGAGCCATGAAAGAAGATGCTACAGTAGGAGGAATTGAATTGCAACGGGATGTTGATGAGTCACGGTTGTAGATGCTGCCCTATCACCTGAGAGTACCTGTCTACGGAAAGCAAAATGAGCATATTAAGAGAAGTGCTGCTGAAGAAAAGGCAGTTGCTGCAAGAGGTGGACCTGTTCAGGTTGCCATCGAAGAGGATATTTTGCTGCTCCAAGCGAAGTATGTCAACCAATTGCTTGCCAAAAAACAGCGTGAAAATCAGCATGATGAAGAAGGCTTTGCGTTTCTAATCTTTCGAGAGCTCTTCGCCCACTCCAAAGTTGCAATGCTACATCTTCTCTTGCCAAAGAGCTCCTGCGACAAAGAAGCATATTCGCAGCTGATTTATGCAGCTTGTTTGCAAGTTTTCAGGAAGGCCTTCTCGGCAACGAATGGAGCAGAGATATCTTTGGAGAATTCTGGATTTAGTTTGTTCTGCCTCTATGCCCTTTACGAAACAAACCCTCTACCCCGAGAGATGCAGTCACCCTTTGAGCTGCTGTCGATGGGACTACAAGGGGATGAAAACTATAAAGCATTGTACAGACGTGTTTTTCGACAGAACATTCGAATCGACCACGGGCATTACTCTTTTCTTCTGCAACTAAGGCATCTATGCTTGGCTCGGATTGATGCCTGTGGGAAGCGACTTTTTGGACACAGATCACACTATCAGAGCAGTGACGATCCTTTACATGCTCATGACACGTTCAAATGTAACTGCGCTATTGCGAAAGACACAATCCACATTATGAATTTGCTTGTCACGAGATGGGATTATTGCGACTACACGGGGCCAGTTGGGTTAGAAGGGCTAGCTGGCCATAGTGACTACGTTTCAACGGAATCGACAAAGAACGCTTCAGACCCGATTGAGACGACAACTTCTTCACCCGAGCCTCTCTCTGCAGTGCTGAAAAAGGCACTACAGGCATATCAGCATAGGGTCAGAGAAATCCAAGTACCAGCAGGAAGAACACACACAGCTACCAAGGTTAGGAAGTCGCTTGAAGATTTCTTTGCTTCGACAAGAAATGATCCTTTGTCTCAAGTCGAGGCTAGACTGTTTGGGACTGGCGGCTTTGACCATCAAGATACTCAAGAAGCTTCTAGGAATGACATGCATCCGTCTAGAAATAACAGTAAGGAGTCTGATGAGACGAACAGTCGCGTCTTTGTTGCAGGCGAAAAACACGCTACAGGAAACAAAAATGCTGATGCCACACTCCCGTCGTTTAAGTCGGTCATTCCTCCCGGACTTCAGGATGAGACAAAAAATTACCTGCACAGAGCTTTGGGAGCCTTATTTGAGCGCCAGTTACCCTTCTTGGAGACAACAGCACTTATTGGTGGTGATTCTACAGACGATGTATCTTCTGTCGGATTTGGGGGCATCTCTGTTGCAACAGGCGGAGGTAGAAATGCTCTCCAGGCCCTTCTTTCGAAGGCAAATATACGTAAGGGGGTTCCAAGTAGGGTGGGGGCTGCCAATAACACCAACGAAGTGCAAAGAAATAACTCGGCTATGCAATTCCTGACTGCTGATAATGCTCTTATGAATGATGAAGTCGAGTCTGACGGGGACGACTCAGATGTATCAAATCTGTCGTTGTCTGACTATGAAGATGACGACGACAAGTTCGACGATGCTTCTGTGGCCACTTCTGCCGCTGGGAAGCAAGCTCTCTCTAGCCTTCTCAATCAAGTCAAGAAGAGTCAAACACAATCTCGGAAGCCAGCGCGTGCGAAGAAAAGACATTCACTCTCCAAAAGGTCTACACCCACTGCTGTCAAAGCAGTAATGAAATTACAAGACTCGGCAGATACAGTGTCTGTTTCTACGTCGGTTGGTGGAGGACAAAACGCACTGGCCACTCTACTTGGTACAGCACAGCCGAGGGATAGAGACAGCGCGAGCGCCAAAAGAGCTAACGCCGGGCGCAATTCCAAAGGTGCACGAGGATCCCAGACTAGGAAATCCAAACGGGTCCGCGTATCAAAGGAAAGTACCACCGAACGTGACGAACTCTCAATGGCGAGCTCCATTGGGCATGGGCAAAACGCACTTGGAGATTTACTTCGCCAAGCCAGGGACACTAAGCATGGGTCTCTTCGTAGTCCGTCGGATGGAGGGTCATCGGCAAGTTCAGTTGGAGCCGGACGAGGAGCCCTTAGTACTCTCCTCGCACATTCGGGAGAAAAGAAAGTTTCGAGCGAAGATACTAGCGAAGATACTAGTGAATTGGCTTCGCTTGCTGCAAGTAGCATGGGGCAGGGTCAAGGAGCCCTCAACTCACTCATGCTGCTAACCCAAAGTTCAGCTCAACAAGAGGATGATGCCGACTCGGTTTCTGTGGCGACCTCCATTGGAGCGGGGAGAGGGGCGTTGGATATTCTGCTCAAGCAGACGGGACAAACATCCGACGACGAGGGGTCAGACTCTTGAATTTCTTGAAAAGTCTATATCATTATGTATTTATATATCTCTAGTCTCGTGGTGTCGCGCACTTCATGAAAGGTGTTGAAAGTGCTCTGTTTCCTCCTGACTTATGGCTCCAAATGACGCGATGCTTTCAACTCGAGCGCGCTCTACCCATCCTCCATTATTGCCAACGCTGTGTTCTAATGCATAAAATATATAGTAGAATACCGCCAGAGCCAAGAATCCAAGATGAAGCATGATCCCCGCTAGCTCCAGCTGGCTGATGAGATACCAGTTCACAAAGATTCCGAAACAAGGTAGCATGGGCATGAATGGCGTGACAAAGTATTCGCTTTGATCTGTAGCTGGACTGGGAGGATGCCGAATGCCAAATGTTTGCACTCTTGGACATCGCCATACTAGAATGACCATGCACACGATCATTGAAAGGAAGAAGATGGCCCCGAATATCTTTCCATTTAGAGAAGCTGCAAAATGAGACAGCGCAATTCCGGTCAGGAGGGCAGAAGCATGGAAGGTGGTCATAACCGATTCTGAAAGTGCAGGCTGATCTTTTGGACTGGGATACCAAAGAAGGATGAGCGATGTGTCGGTGAGTGACAACGCTGTCAGCACAGCACATGAGATCATATCATTCAAATGTGTGAATGGAATAAAGGTTGCGATCAATACCATAACAATGCCGCAAATCAGTGTTCCTTTCGTCAGGTTGCCCTTTTCATCAATCTCGCTAAAGATTGGTGGCAATAGTCCATCTTTTGCCAAAGCGTATTGGAGTCGAGGTTGTGCCATGACTGTAATGAGTACCACAATGGGCAAGCAAATAATTTCTCCCAATGCCGCAATCTCTGCAGCATTCGCGGATCCTCGGGAACGGAAAGCTTCTGGAAATCCACTGACAGCACTAATCTCATCGTAAGGGAGCATTCCAACCAGTGCTATCGTGGCTAGAATGTACAACGAAGTGATCGATCCAAGCGTGAGGAAAATGGCCTTTGGGAGATTCTTCTTGGGATTCTCCGCTTCACCTCCAAGGCAAGCAATCTCGTCATATCCCAAATAGCCAAAAAAGGTAGCCGTCGCTCCGCGAAAGATTCCGGTAGCACCAAAGGATTCAGGTATGAACGGCGTAAAGTTGGCTGGTCGTATCAAGGACAACCCAACAATAATCATAAACATAACGACGCAAACTTTCAGCTTTGTGAAAAAGTTGGTCACACTTTTGCTTCCTTCAATGCCATTCATGAGTAGAATCACCGAGACGGAAGAGACTAGGAACGCGAGAGGACTGAACGAATTGTCAATGTCCAATAGCTTGATGAAGAAGTTTTCGCTTCCAACTTCATCCACAAGCCACTGTTGCAATTTGTCACCCCAACTCCGCGCGACTGCAGACGCGGCTGCAACATATTCAATGGACAAACAGGCAGCGGCAATCACTGCCGGCAACTCTCCCATGGCAACAAATGTGTAAGCATAGGCAGAACCAGAAAGCGGTATCCTGGAAGACAGTTCAGCATAACACGTTCCGCTGACCAAGGCGGCGATTCCACTAATGACCCAACTCAGAATGGAAGCTGGTCCAGCATATTGATTTGCCACCAAGCCACAGAGTACAAATAACCCAGAGCCGATTGTAGAACCAATTCCCACTAGTACTAGATCTGTGAGGGACATGTGCCGTTCTAGTGATTTGGAAGAGGTGACGGAGGAATCGCAGTCAAACGTTTCGTACGTTTGAGAAGATGTCGAGTTTCGTCCATTCGTCGGCACTTTGTTGCGGATGCTTGTCGTTTCGCTAGCGCTGTCGAAATCTTCGTCTGGAGGTAATGGCTTCTTGACAAAGAGATTGGAGTCTTTTCGGAGGAGTTTGCGTGATGGATTCATTGCTGTGATGTTTTGCGAACCTCTGCACCACTTTTATGGCACAGTACCGGTATCTCATATCGTATCAGGTATCGTGAGTATCGTATTGTTTTGCACTTTCAATGAATTCTGTCGCGTCTGGCTTCGGTTTTGAATTCTTCGATTGCTTGGAAGTGATGGATGTGACATTTGTGACGTCACTTCGGGTCGCTCTGATTGATTCCGTCGACTAAAACTTGGGTCAATTCCAAAAAGATCCACAATGAATGACTGATGGTCAGGTGCTCTCCTGTTTGCCGAAGGCTCATTCATAAGCTGGATGCCACTAAGAGGTCGATATGCGCCCGAAGTATGTCAATTGATTTGCGAAGTGACACAGTGACGCTTCCAACGGCTGACATGCTGCGGACTGCCATGGAAGCAAGTCTCGGTGACGATGTAATGGGGGAGGACAAGACAGTCCTGGAGTTGCAGGAATACATGGCGGATTTGACCGGAAAGGAAGCGGCGCTGTTTGTTCCAACGGGAACAATGGCGAATCTTGCAGCCATCTTGTCTCACTGTAACACGCGGGCGTCCGATATAGTCATCGGTTCTACTTCGCACATTGCTTTGTGGGAAGGTGGCGGAGCCGCTAACCTGGGTGGTGTCCATACGAGACAGATCATTGAAGACGAAGACGCCCGAATGGATCCCAACGATATCATAGACAATATATTTCCAGACGCAGATGATCACTGTGCGAAAACAACTTTGCTCTGTTTGGAGAATACCCAGAACATGCTCGGGGGCGTAGCACTACCTCCGTCCTACATGTCAGCAATGGGAAAACTTGCAAAAGAACATCAAATCAAGTCACACGTTGACGGTGCTAGAATATTCAATGCTGCAATAGCTCAAGACGTATCAGCAAAGGAACTATGTCAGGACATTGACAGCATATCCATTTGCTTCTCCAAAGGATTGGGGGCGCCAGTTGGCAGTGTCTTGGTGGGAGACTCGGAATTCATACGCCTGGCCAAGCGAGCTCGCAAACGGTTGGGAGGAGGAATGCGACAAGCTGGTGTCATTGCCTCCATGTGTTTGTACGCCGCACAGCACAACATTGATCGTCTTGAAGACGATCACAGGAGGGCAAAGATGATTGCTTCAGAATTGCAAAACGCTGGATTTTTCCTACCGCGGAATGGACAAGTAGACACAAACATTGTTTATTTTGGGCTTCCAGCGGACACTGATATCTCAAAGCAGGAGTTTCAAATGAAGCTAGAAAGTGAATTTCATACTCTGCTGACAGCAGGCTATAGCAAGGGGGGTGAACTGTTTCGGCTTGTGACTCATATGGGGATTGATGACGAGCAAATCGAGCATGCTACAGATGGCATTGTACAGCTTGCAAAGAAAATTTGAGTAAAAGAGTTTTATAATACTATTAAAACTCTCCTGTTATAGGACTACAGCCCGCTGTAGGCTGCCAAAATTGTGATGCTACGGCGATTCTAGCTATCGAAATCACCGAGGCACATCTTCGTCGAATGCTAATATTGCATTTCTTTGTCTTCCCGCACACGACTGCGGGAGAGTATCGACCATGATCTATCGATGTTGTTTTATTGTGCATGCTTCTTGATACCGGTATCCAAATCCCTCCGTTGATAACTATCTTTCATGCGTACTGCTGTCGTTCTATACTACGGACAAGTCCATCAACACTGATGATTGCTCCGATGAAACATCATCATCATCATCATCATCACCATACACTAACTTCTTCGCTTTCTGCTCTTCAAGAAGCTCAAGGTTTGCGATTCTTGGGCTCCCTGAATAGGAGTCCTCTGGCGAAGGAAGATCTAAGACGGAAGTTGGGGAAGAGTTATTTGAACCACTTGGAGGTAACAGCCTTGGCGATTGATTCCTGTAAAGATTCGGCGTTACTGGCTGGCTTCTCTGGGTGGTGGGACCGCTGATTTTCTTTGCATTTTGGAACGGCGACCGCTGATGGCGACGTTTCTGCACTAGCTGATCAAATGAATCGTTCAACTTCGGGCTGCTGCCTTTTGATTGGAGGGGCAACTGTTCTAGATCTTCTTTCATGACAAACTCGAACTTTTCAGGTGTTGCAAATGAGACTCGTTTGGCCTTCAAGGCTGATGAAGCAGGGGAGTCCAATGCCAATCGATGGACTGGTTTTATAGGCAGTTGTGGAGCCATAGTCTTGAGAATACCAGTAGAGCTCAAAGCAGCAGGGCTCGCCGCACGAGCTTTGTACTTTAAGGCATTCCTTTTTGTCACTATACCATAAGCCTGCACCTGCTCCGTGCATTTCGCGGATTTTTCAAAAAAATCTCTTTTCACCTTGGCTGAATCGATGGCTGCAAACTTGCTCCTTGCTAACATGCGAGCCCGTAACTTATCCCTTGGCGTACTACCACGGGCAGGTATTCTGGCAAGAACGTCGCCTTGTTCCATAGATGCTGGCTTTCTTGTCAAAAATCCTTCAAGAGCCTTTTCATGATTGTCGAGGGTGCTTACCCCAACATCTGACACAGATGATCTCCAGGTAGTCTTATGGATCTTGTCTTCGGTACTCTTCGAAGGACTCTGTCGTATGTTACGTGCCATTCTTCGGTTGTGCAATAATTGACTCCGTTCACGATTATACATTAGGACCGAATCAGAGGTGGCATTCGAGACCGTCGATTTGGAATCTTCGGCAAACGGCATTGAGTCGATTAACGAATTATCGCCATTCTGCTGTGAAAAGAAACTTTCATCAAGTTTTTCGATAGCGAAAGACTGCTTCAATGCAAAGCGGTTGAATTCAGAGTTTGACTGTACTTGCGGTCTTATGTCTGCATCTTTTCGTTCTGACTGCCTGCGTTCTATTCGCTTCCATGCGGCTTCTTCCAGCTTTGCTTCTCTCTTCACAATCTCAAGCAGCCTGGCTTGATTCAAGCCTTCTTGCTCCAAGTCCTGTGACCTCGTATTCTCTTTTTCCTTCTTGTCCTTTTTCTTTCGCCACACCATATCTCGAATTTGGTCGAAAACAGAGTCTTTCTTTCCACTTCGATCATCGTCCAGATTGGAGTGACCAGAAAGTAGAGCAACGGAGGAAGTGTCTAGTTCCGTCGCTGTGTAGTCTTGACTGCATTCTTCACATGTCTCTAACGGATTCTCGAAGTGTGATTGATGTGTTGTGAGGCTGTTCGTCCCATCGAAACTCTCGTCCATGTAGCTATTTGACATTGCGACGGACATTGTGATTTGCGATACATCATCGCTGATTGCTCGAAGGTGAGGAGATGTACGATATGGCTTCATTTTACGCCCATTACGTTTGATTGCAGATTGAACAGTGGTATGTTCATCCATACTGCAACCCATACTGTAGTCCTCAGTATATGATTCGTTCTCTTTTATCTCCTTATCGATAAGTGTGGAACGCTTCACCTTCATTCTCCTCTTTTGCGGGGAAGATTTTGTTCGTCTCTTTGGGTCAGATGATTTTGTTTGTCCCTTGGATGAGGGGGCTTTCACATCCTTCTTTTTAAAGGAAGATTGCGTGACAATTGAATTCTCGTCAGAATAGATATAATAGTCTCTCACGTCAACAAATCTAGATCCTGGATTGTGCTGCACTCTATCTCGAGTCTTTTTTGGTATGTAGAAGCCTGACTTTTCCGGTTCCTTCTTTGTCTTCTCAAGAGATTTTTTTCTTTCATTAACCTTGACTTCCGGATAGTACTTGGATGTCATAGTACTTTGGGTAAAAGTTGTATCGTAGTTTGTATATTCATCGGTAAAGTAGGCAGAATCGGAGTCATGCGAAGTGTTACGGGTGTCTTCATCGTAGGTAGTTTCACAATTAGAGCGACTGTCATCCGAGCGTGTAGCATGAGACGGTCCGTCGGAAAGATGTCCCTTACGGCAGGTGATCTCGTTCATAGAGTGGACACCTTTGCGAGATTGGCCGTTGTGAAATCGCCTTTTGTTAGTAGAGAGTGCCCCAAACAGGCCCTCCTCTTTTGGGAAGTCGTCAACATTTATGAGTTTTTCGTCAATAGGAGTTTCTTGAATCGGGCGCAAGCCGAAACTACTTCTTGTTTCGATAGTAGTTTCTTGAATAGATTGGATGCCGAAAGATGGAGAGTCTAATGTGCTTCCCTCATCAATGGTGGTTTCTTGAGTAGAGTGTAAACTAAATGATTGAGAACCAGATGTACTTCCTTCATCAATTGTAGTCTCCTGAGTAGAGTGCAAACCGAGAGATTGTGAAACTGATCTACTTCCTTCGTCAATGGAAGTTTCTGGAGTAGAGTGCAAGTTAGAAGGTCCTGAACCTGATGTACTTCCATCGTCAATGGTACTTTCTTGAGTAGAGTGCAAGTTAGAAGGTCCTGAGCCTGAAGTAGTTCCTTCATCAATGGTAGCTTCTTGAGTCGAGTGCAAACCAAAAGACCGCGAACCTGAAGTAGTTCCTTCATCAATGGTTGTATCCTGAGTCGAATGCATGCCGAAAGACTGCAAACCCGATGTACTTGCTTCTTCAATGGTGGTCTCTTGAGTAGAGTGCATGCCTAATGATTGAAAACCCGATGCGCTTCCTTCATCATTTGCATCTTCTTCAGTTGATTCCAAACCCGAAGCACTTTTTTCGTCAGTAAATTGCTGCTGAGACGAGGGCAACCACGCATTATTAGCATCATTGTCGTCGTCCCCGTCGTCGTCAGTACTTTCTAGCTGCAGAACAGAGCGCAGTCCGGCAAAACTTCTCTCGTCATAAGAGCGTCCACCAAAAGATTTGTTTCCACTGCAGGCGCTTCCGTCATCAACGGTCGTCTCTTGAGCAGAGTGCGACCCAGATGAATCTTCTTCATCTATGTTGTCTTCTTGAATAGAGCGCAAGCCAGAAAAACTTTTTTCGTCGATACAGCGTCCATCGCAAGATTGATTCTCATCGTAGGTTCTTCCTTTTGCTCCGTCAATGGAACGAGTTGAGTTTTGACTCGTTTCTGCAGACTCGCCGGATTGCAGAAGGCTCTTTTCGTTATCAGCTGATGGACCTTTGTTTTTTTTCTCTTTAGACAAGTCTTTATCTTGGGTTCGGAGACCGGCGTCATGATTTGAAGCACGACTACCGGAATGATGACTAGTAATCGAGTCTACTGTGTGCTTGGAGAATACAGAGTAGTCAAAGGCCTCCGACTCGTCGTCATCGCCATCATAGTCATCATATTCATCGTCCTCTTCATCGTCGATATGATCGATATCAAAATCCTCATCGTTGCCATCTACATTGATGCGAAGATGACGTTGAATCATGTCTGCAGCAGCATCAAAGAACCCATCGATTCTCGTTCCTACCAAAGAACTTTCTTCTCCGCTGCTACTACTTTCATCATGGAATATATGATCCAAGTGATTGTTTTCCTCAGAAATCTTACCTCTGAGTTCCATGGCATCCTCTGGGCTCCATGGAGACTTTTGACTGTCTATCGAAACCATCGGTCGAAGGAAATCCAAAAAGTGAGTTTGAAATTGGAAATCCGAAAACAACTGGTTCAAAAACGGGAATCGAGCTAGCCGACCGGTCGCGGCAGATTTTAAAAAATAAATCGACTTGTTCGACTGTTACTTTCTTCCGGCTTTTCACTTTGGATCTTTTCGCCTCCATTTCACATTATATTGCTCGATTGTGACGTTATTGTTGCTTTCCTGGCTCTTGGTCCATGCCATAATCGATGGCTCGGGTGGTTAATGCATCCATTTCTCCAGCCTTCCACACACAAGTGGCAGTTATTGGGGCTGGCGTCGTAGGTTTGGCAATTGCTCGTTCCCTTGCCAAGTGTGGAATGGAAGTCTTTATACTCGAGAAGGCATCCATCATCGGAAATGAAACATCTTCACGTAACTCTGAGGTCATCCATGCCGGTATTTACTATCCCCAAGATTCACTTAAGGCAAAATTTTGCGTGTCAGGTCGACATAGCCTCTACGAGTACATTCAATCCCGACACATTCCACACAAGAAATGCGGCAAATTGGTTGTTGCGACTCAACCTTCTCAAGTTTCCAATGAGTTACGAGCCTTGTTCGAAAAGGCCCAAAGAAATGGAATCGATAACCTAAAGCTAGTGAGCAGGGAAGAGGTTAAAGTTATGGAACCAAATGTGGAATGTCACGGTGCTCTTTGGTCTCCTTCGACTGGAGTTGTGGATTCTCATTCCTTTATGTACAATTTGTTAGCTGATGCCGAGAAACACAGCGCACAACTTGTCTTGAATACAGCGGTAGAAGATGCTGTAGTAGATTCTGATGGGATATGCTTGAAAGCTGACGGTGCTTGGATTCAATGTGATTACGTCATCAACACTGGTGGACTATGGGCAAATCATATCGCAAACATGTTTCATCGAAGTACTTCATGGAAACCACCCATAGCATATTTTGCCAAGGGCAATTACTTTCGCCTACAAGGTAAAGCTCCCTTTGAAAAGTTGATATATCCAGTCCCAGAGCCAGGTGGATTGGGGGTTCATGCCACCGTTGATTGGGGCGGGCCTACAGTAAAGTTTGGACCTGACGTTGAATGGGTGGAGCCATCGGTATCCAATCCAGCAGAGGTGTCACTGGATGTTGATCCAACGCGTGGTGATAAGTTCTACAACGAAGTTCGAAAATATTGGCCAGGCCTGGAAGACAATCAACTGATACCTGACTACGCAGGAATTAGGCCAAAACTAAATCATCCGTCTCTTCAATCGCCGTTGCCATTTGAAGATTTTCGTATCTATGGGCCTGAGACACACGGTGTACAAGGATTGATTCATTTGGTGGGTATCGAGAGTCCGGGACTCACTAGCAGTATGGCTATTGCGGAGGATATCCGAATCCAAGTGGCAACCAGGTGACAAAGAACAGAAAGATCTCACAAATTTCTCCATGTGACAATCTGGATGAATCAAGTTCATCTTCGACTTTCAAAGTATACAATTTTGGAAACCAAAAAGTCCTTATTTGACAAAAGATAGTATTGTGGCTACCCTTAGGTCTTGTGGACAATGAAAGCTTTCCCTGTAGCCTTCTGAGTTTTCTTGAGAGCTCCAAGGGTTCCTGCAGTTGTCCCTTTAGAAGCCATACGAGCTTCGGCTTGCTCCCGTTGAATCTGTCGCAGACGTTTGTCTTCCTTTTTCTTGCTACCAGCATGTCCATGGAATTGGTAACATAGATCTCGATAGGCTTCTTTCGAAGTGAGCAATCTTCCATGCTTGTCTCTGTATTCTAGCTTGATTTCACGACCGGCAAATTCCTTGTCCTTGTCATTAGCATTCCTCCCAATCTTTACAACCTTTTTTAGATCCAATGCTTCGTAATTCTCGTAGTTTCGTTCATCCTTCGCACGCCCACGAAGCTCTTCCTTTCCAGCATGTTTCTTTATCTCGCCTGTTTGCTTCAACATGGACACGAAACTTGATAGGCCTCTTCCAACTCCTGCAGCTTCAGATGCTGTTCCTTCTAGTGCAGGGGTGTCATCCTCGTCGACTTCTTTTGCAAGCTCATGGATATCCAGATTCTCTTCTTCTTCTGCTTCCTTCATTTCGACGTCTTCCACCTTCGGTGCTATGTCCTTGGGAGCAGACTTGATCTCAATCTTGATACCAGAAGTGTTTGGTGCTGGTTTGGTTTTTGACCGCTCTTCTTGCTGAGCACGTGCCTGGATGGCTCGAGTAAATTCACGAGTATCATCAGTTGAAAAGGAGATTCCAGACGACGACGGGGCATGATCTGGTTTGACTGCAGCATCCTCTGACTGTTTCAACGCTGCAGCTACAGCATCGGCTCCCTTTGCTTTTGGTTTGTTCAATTCTCTTAATCGGTTCAGTCTTCGTGCCTTTGCTAGAGCTGCATTCAAGAAAGAATCGTCGGGTTCTTCGTCAAACCAATCCTCCTCAACCTTTGGTTTCTTCTTTTCTTGAAATGCCAATCTTGTTCGTTCATTCCCCTTATCCATAATATCATCGTAGCGTGCTCTTTTCTCCCTCGCTTCCTCTTTTACATCGCCATCTGTCATGATATGATCATTGGACTCTTCCTCGTCCACCTTCCGCCGTTTTCGCATTCCTGTTACTTCCGCAGAGGCAGTCTCCTCTAGATGCTGAAGCAGATTACCATTTTGAGTTCCAGGCGCTTCAACCTTTTCTTCCTCGTCATCACTGTCCATTTTGCGTCGACGCTGTTTCTTACTCTTCTTATCCTTCTTCTTCTTCTTTTTGAATTTACCATCCTTCTTGAGCTTTCGCTTGGCTCGTTCAGCGTCCTCCTCTTCGACCGTCATGTAGTCACTAGCTGCTACGTCAGCCTTTGTGGGAAGCAATGAGATGGCTTTTCCTCGCTGGATGGCATCGAAATCAGTTATCTTTTCTTCTTTCTCTCTTGTACTACCAAGTCGGAATCCTAGTCTTGACGGTTGGTCCTCGTCTTCATTGTCCCCCAAGAACAGATTTCCGCGCTCCTTGCGGGAAGGACCCAAGGTTCCTCCAAGTTCTTCAAACTCTTCATCATCAAAGCCAGCATATCCGCCAGCCCTTCCCATACCCATTTCGAGCATGCGCTTCTTCCGAAGGCCATCCTGTTGTTTCTTTTGGTCTCTCAAGTTGTCATTCTCGAGGGTGTCTTCTGCTTCGTTCAAACCCGTGGCCTTATTCGACTCATTCTTTTCCAAAAGTGGAGCATCTGCCAAGGTTAGAACTGTTGTAGAACCAGCCTCGAGTTCGGACATCTTATGGGAAACTTGCATTCCCTCAAGATCGTTGTCATCGTACCTTTCATTAGTTTTGGTTGTTTTCTTTGTCTTGGACTTTTTCGGCGCCTCATCCTTTTGTTGTCGCATTTTTTCCGCCCAAGAGAGAGCTGACTTATCCGCATCATCCGAAAGCGTTTGAGACCCAAAGGTTTTGGCAGCTCCTCGTTGGACATCTCTTTGCAGTCTGGCTTCGCTGATGCGTGCTGCTGCCTCTTTAGCAGCGCCGTCATTTGTAGCAGGTTTGTGCACTACTTCCTTTCCAGAACCTGATCGTAAAGGCTTGAGACCTAGTTTATCTCGAAGTTTGTTGGTTTCGTCAATGGACATTTCCAGCACTTCGTCTGCCTTTGATGCAGATTCGGAGATCTCATTTCGAGACGCTTGTTCCTCTATTGATTGAAATGGAACAGGTTCTCTACTCAATCGTAGCGGGGCCAATCCAAGCTCAGCTCGAAGCTTGTTGGTTTCTTCGACGGAAAGCTCAATCACTTCCTCTGGCATCTTGAGAAACCAACCACTACTTTGTGGTGCTTATTCGTTGAGTGTGTTGTGGTTAACCTGTAATGGATTAATCTCGTCAAACGTGCTGCTATTGCACCCCGATCGATTTTTAGGCACCGCGCGACCCCGCGCAATGCTCTCTTGGACTTGTTGCATAGTCTCCTTGACACTCATACGAAGTACTGGTACTCTAGTTATTTACATCGGTAGGTACATATTCTATTTGGATCTAAGTGTGTACAAATTAACTACTGTGAAACTTCTTTTCTGCTGCGGCGTAGTCCTTCAACAATTGGCAGGGCTCAAACTGTGGTCCGTACTTGTCGGCAAAACCATGCATCATGTCAACATAGTTGCCGACTCCAACTTGGTCGAGGTAACGGAATGGACCACCTCGGAATGGTGCAAATCCAGTTCCAAACACAAGGCCAATGTCTCCGACCACTGGGTTTTCAATAATGTCATCTTCCAAGCACTTGGCAGCTTCGTTGACAAAGCGCGACACTATTCTGTCTTGGACCTCCTTTTCGCTCAAACCAAGATCTTGTTGAACAAATCCCTTGACGTATGCTTCAACCTCGGGGCTGATAGTCTTTTTCTTTCCCTTATATGTGTAGAAACCTTGGCCACTCTTCTTTCCGAGCCATCCCTTTCCAATCATATCTTTCATGAGGCTGATGTCACCTCCTCCCATGCGATCACCAAGGTCCGCATTCGACAAGAATCCAGCTACATGAGAAGTAACGTCAATTCCAACTTCATCAGCAAGTGTGACTGGTCCCACTGGCATTCCAAAGTTCTTCAAAGCCTTGTCTAGGGCTTCCAACTTGACACCATCCCGGACCACTGCGGATACCTCGACCAAAAATGGCCCAAGACAACGGTTGACGTAAAATCCTGGAACGTCCTTCACCATGATGCAAGTCTTGCCTTGCTTGGATCCAACTTCAAATGCGGTTGCCTTGGTAGCATCACTAGTTCCTTCATGTGGAATAATTTCCAACAATGGCATGGATGGAACTGGAGAAAAGTAGTGCATACCAATGATGTTCTCTGGTCGCTTGGCACCTTGAGCAATGTCGGCAATAGGAATGGCAGAAGTGTTGGTGGCAAAAATACAATGGTCAGGAGTCTGACTTTCAACGTCAGCCACAATCTTTCGCTTCAAATCGAGATCTTCAAACACAGCTTCGATCACCATACCAGCGCGAGCAAAATGTGCTGGTGTGGCAGGATTATCATCGGTCAATCCAATCACATTGGATGACGCAATGTTGTGCTTGAACTTGGTCATGCGTCTTCTCTTGAGTTTCTTGTCCCAGTTGCCCTTCATGTAGGATTGACCTCTTCCAACAGCTTCGTCGTTTCGGTCCTTGAGCAAAACTGTCACTCCCTTTTCGGCGGTCACTTGAGCGATACCTGCTCCCATGAGTCCAGCTCCCATGACGGCAACTGTATTCACTGGTCGTGCGGCGTCTTTGCCAAAGTTGTGTTTCTTCATTTGGGTCATTCCATCAAAGATGCCAATTAGGGCTTCTGACTCTGGAGTGGCTGCCAGCTTGGCAAATTGTTCCCGCTCATTCTTGTACTTAGTGGCTGGGTTGGCAAGTCCGTGTTGGACACACTGAATGATGGAATAGGGAGCTGGGTAGTTTCCGTTGGTGTTCTTCGCGACCATCTTGTCAATTTGATTCCAAATGAGTTTCTGTCCAATTGGATTATCTTCCAAAAGTCGGTTCATGAGACTCTTCTTTTTTCTCTTGGGCTTTAGTTTTCCAGTGGCAAGATCGATGGCCGATTGGATGGCCACCGATTCGACGGATTGCGAGGCAACGACCAAATCCACCAAACCCATCTTTTTGGCCTTGTCGGGTCGAACGTCCTTTCCAGTCAGCATCATGTCCATGGCATTTTGCAGGCCGACAAGTTCGTGTAGGTTTTGAGTTCCACCAAAGCCAGGAAGAAGACCAAGCTTGACTTCGGGTAGACCCAATTTGGTCTTGGGAGAATCGGAAGCGACACGGTAGTCACACCACCTGAAACACGCATAATGAAAACGAACAACAGGATGTGGTTAGACATTGGTGTACAGCCACCACAATAGAGAGTATAAGCAAATGAAGGCATCTCACTTACATTGTCCACTCCAAACCTCCACCCAGTGCTGGACCATCAATGGCACAGACAAGAGGAATCTTCTTATCCTTCATCAATTGAAAGAAATCCATTCCTTCTTCAATGAGCCCGACCAAGTCTTGCTTGTTTTCGACTGCCTTCAAATCAAAGATATCGGCACCGGCAATGAACATACCGGGTTTGCCAGACGAAAAGACGACAGCCTTGACTTCAGCATTATTGGCGATTTCATTTTCCCACATGACGCGGGCTTCTCGTGACATGTCAAAGCTAATCGAATTGACAGACTTTGGGCCGTCAAATCGAATGACGGCGACACCTTCGGGTGTCATTTCGATATCCTGAAAGAATTCATACTTGCGCCCAGCTTTTGGCTCAAAGGAAGGTGGTGGAGCCCGGATTGTCTCTTCGGCTTCGACCGCAGCAGTTGATTGAAATCTTGCGGGGAGAGCGCTGATGGTGGGATGCACTCTTTGACAAAGGAAGGCTCCCCTGGCAGCCTTTCTTGCTGCTAGTCTACCTAGCATCATCTTGGTTGTTGGTTTGTATCTTTCGGATGCTCCGAAGGATGGATTTTATGCTGGTGGTAAAGAATATTCGTTGATGGGAACTGAGAATGCAAATATTAGCGAAGATTGGGATCTTCCTTGGCACTTTTGAAGACGCGTCACTTGACACCAAAGAAAGGCGAAGGAAGCCCTTTCGAACACTTCGACTAAAGTAAAAACCAAAACAATTTCTGAAACACACCGTATAATCCTACGTAAGTAGTAGGCAACGTCACGAACTAAGCCTAAACAAGTACATTCATATTTTTTAACAGGGTTGTCGTACAACTTCGTGGATTTGGTACCAAGCCATCAAAACATCAAATGGCCATTTTCATCATGACCTTCCGACCCCTTGTTGACATCCACCTTATCACTCCTGCCTCAATGTTTTAGTAGAATATCCTTCTGAATATATCACACAAGAGAAATATCGAAAAATAGTGAGGCGGGAAGGAAGCGGTCCTATCGAAATCTACCAAAATGGCGGATGGTTCGAAAGCATCGTTATGGCAAGCCTTGAGGCCAATGTATTCATCATGCACTGCAAGACAATGTATGAGAAGGTAGTATTTGTTCTCTACTTTTATTTTGAATCATGTGACCATTGAATGCTTTGGTATTGTTGGTTTCCTTGGTCCCCAAAAGGACCGCTTAAACCCGGCATCAACTTTTGAAAGGTTGTTTTCGAAACCTTTCGACCCCATGTTGTCATCGACAAAACATCGGGCATCTCTATTTTTTTTCAGAATACGCTTTTAAACTCATCACATAAGAAAAATATCGAAAAACACAGAGATGATCGATGAGTCCAAGTAGTGAAATCTACCAAAAAGGCTGATGAATGGATTTGTTGGCAACCGGTTCGTTGATCTTTAGCATGTCCCCATGACCGCCATGGAGGCATAAACCACTCAACAATACACCGGTCCCTTCTATTAGTCCTTAGCGACAGAGAAATTTGCGAATTGACCTTAGATGATTTGGCCTATACCTACCTCCAGAAGCCAATTTCCTGCTGACCCCATTTCGAGGAGTTCCGGTGACTTGGTTGAATTTTTCGGAATTCCATGCAATATAGACCAATGTTCCTAATTTAAAGTACATATATCTGTAACATATATACATAAGATAAATGTTGCACGTTGAAATATCAAGATTCGTATGACAACAAGGTCGTTTGTGAGGTTTGGGGCTCTTTCCTCTAGAGAGTCTTTTTTGGGAAGATCTCACAATTTGAGCACATCCGATTCAATCGACCTCAAGGTTTTGTACCACGGCTACGAGTTTTCTACGGTAGGCAGTCAGATCTTGCAACGATTTTTTTGAAGTGTTCTACGGTTAAGTGCCAGACGTTGAAAACGATCGAGGAGCCGGAGGAAGCAATGATTTCTTGATTACAATGCCATCACACAATAATTGTACCTATTGTACAGTACAGTAACAAGACATTAGCAAAGCCACGATGGAAGGAGGGGCTTCCAATGCACAAGGTGGTCCAAATCGACGCAATGGTCGCAATCGTCGCCGCCGAAACAACAAAAATAGCGGCAATGCCGGCAATGGCAACGGCAATAACACCAACAACACCAACACCAACAACAACAACAGGTCGCAACCACAACCGCAATCGCGGTCTCAGTCCATGGATGGATCGATGGGAATGACCGGCAATTCAAAACCGCCCACTCCAGGAAACAACAAATCTCAATCTCCTCAACGGAATATTCACCAAGGGAAGAAAAAGTCTCGGTCGCCCAACCGCGATGGACGCTCCACCTCGCCTCTGCGTCCACACCAACGTATCCACAAGTCACAAAATCCGGACATGACGGTGGTCATCAACAGGAGCGATTTGTGGGACTCTGCTGCGCACTTTCAACCGGATGAGACCTACGTCCAACACCATCAACACCCGCAGCCCAATCTGCTTGTCAAGCCGTTTCAATTCATCCCTCATGTTCCCAATCATCATGCTCCGTCCATTGTGACAGCTCGTGTCCCTTACAATTTGGAATCCATCAAGCCGCCACCCCAATTTGCGGATGGGCTCTTCGATGTCTTTGACAGAGTTACGCCCAATCCCCACGACTCAAGTGTAGTCCATGACAAGTATTGGTGTCAACGCCGTCGGCTCTTTTCCAGATTTGATGCAGGCATTCAGTTGGACTCCGAAGGATGGTTCTCGGTTACACCCGAGGTCATTGCCGATCATGTGGCTCAGCGAGTGGCCAACCTGGCCAAGCCTATTGTCCAAGCTCGGAATGATGGTTATGGGATTGTCATTATGGATGCCTTTTGTGGATGCGGGGGGAACTCGGTTGCCTTTGGCAAGATTGATACCTCTCTTGTCTCGCGTGTGGTATGCGTGGATACAGATCGTACCAAGCTCATGAAGGCCGCTCATAATGCTTCTTTGTACGGAATTCCTACCAATAAGTTGGTATTTATTGAATGCAACTCGACCTTCATCCTAAAGTACTGCTACAAGAATGGGCAGTTTATCTTGGACCAGCCATCCACACAGCTTCCCAAGTACATGCCCAAGCCGGTTCAAATGACACGTCATGCCGGATATCGCATTGGAGGTTTGGATCTGTTGCCCCGGCGCATTGATGCTGTCTTTATGGATCCTCCGTGAGTTTCATGGTTGTGGATATGATGGCTTTCAGCTTTTACAGTTTCTTGTTCTCACACTTATGGCGTCGCATGTCTTTCTCCTTAATTCACAGATGGGGCGGTGTTGACTATGAGGTGTTTGGAAAGAACGGGTACGACCTCAAGAAAAATATGAAAATTCGAATTTCACCCGAAGAAGACGAATACGAAGCGGACGGAGACGGCTTTGGAGATGATTTCTTTGATACCTTTTCTACACCTACCAACCACCAAAAAATGTCGCAAAAGGCTCGCAAGGCCAACTTTAACAAGCACACGGAAGGCGACTTTATTGATGGAATGGAAATGCTCAAAGTGGCTGCTGAAGCGACGGCATCCCGAATTGTGCTTTTTGATATGCCTCGAAATACCAACAAGGTTTCTCTTGGATTGAGTGCATATGAGGCTGGATACAAGGGCAACATCAAGCTCGAAGAGCACTACCTCAACGGACGGCTCAAGACGGTGACTGCCTACATGGGGGCGGACTACAGTGGGCTCATTAATAACCACAATCAGGGCAAGGATGCAGCAGAGGTACACAGTTAAAAAGTGCCGTTTTTCAAAGGACAATGTTTAAAATAAGCTAGAATGGCAAACTTTAAGATTCGGTCTAGTTTTAAATGATATGAACATCTCCAAAGCTAGAACCAGAAGAAGCTGATGATTCGTCATCATAAGGTCCAGCACGAGGATTTTTGTGCGAAGTATTATTTTGGTCGCCCCATAGAGTTTTTCTTACATCATCGAATACTGATGTACGCTTCAGTCCAGACAGTTGATTTTCAAAGTGTATGGTCGATTGGTCGTCAAAGGATGCATGGGGCATCTCCGCCATTTTGTGCTCCAATGCCAATCGTTGGACCTCTACAAAGTCGGGAGTCAGTTTGTTGATACGTTTTCGTTTTAGAAGATACGCCAACGCCACGGTCAAGAAAATGACCAGCGAAACTAAAACTGCCTCCAAGGCCGTATTGGATTCCTCTTTGATCACAATCGAAGTTCTAGTCTCGCACGAATCCCCAATGTATCCCTTCTTGCATTTACAATGATGACGCATGTCGTCCCCAGCGACACATTCACCACCATTGTAACATCGCTCCGAGTCTCCACATCCTTTGTATGGAATCTCGCATAGTGCGCCCGTGAAGTGCCCAAAACATTTACAACTATAATCTTCTGGATCGTATATTCGACCTTCGTCTATCAACAAGCCACTAGCTCCTCCCGTGGGAGCCTCATGACAATAGGATCCATTTTTACAGTCCAAAGGACAAAACCGTTCACAAGTAGGGCCAGAAAAACCAGGGCCACAAAGACAATGGCGATGAGGCACCACAGAATTGCCTTCTTGACAACTACCACCATTGAGACAATGGTCGTCATCGGAGCAAAGGTCGTGGTTGACGTGCGTTTGATCGTCGTCGGAGGCGGTAGTAGATGAAGCTGCCATGGTAACTAGCAAAATAGACTTGGCAATCGATGATAAATGGGATTTCTTCATTTTTCTTTTTCTTTTTTCGTTCTGCAATGGATGTTTTGTTGTTGATGACAAACAGGAACAAAACATCATTTGCCACAGTTTCGACAAGAATTTGCTTCCAACACGACTGGTTTTTGGCCGAGGTCGAAGGATTCAAAGAGTCTAAATAAGTGCTCCCCACGTGGTCTCATGCACCGATCAATCGATGATAAATGAAGTCATTGCGAGTCCAGCAAGACTCACAAAGTTCACTCGTTTCCCATCAACCTGGAAAAGGAGGAGCTACCTTCTCTACCGGTTAACAATATATCACAATGGCTAAATGGTTTCGATCAGAGCCCATGGAGTACATCTCCATCATTTTGAATGAAGATGCTGCTCATGGATGTCTCGCCGACCTTGGAAAGTTGGAAGCCGTTCAGTTTTCAGATGTAAGATGATTGATTGTTCAAGAGATTGTGAATGCGTTTGGTCACATTTCACTGACCAGATGTATTGCTCTTTATTTTTAAAAAATGCGCTGTGTAGTTGAACCCAGATTTGACCCCGTTTCAACGGCGATACGTCTCTTACGTTAGACGTTGTGATGAATTGGAACGGACTCTGCGATATTTCGTGCAAGAAATTGAAAGGTTTGACCTTGAGATTGAGTCAGCTGGACATGTCGATAACTTTTTGAACGATCCTTCGCTTGTACCTGGATCACAGGATTCTTCTGAAAAGAGTGGGGCTCGACTCTTGGAGAGTCTGGAGAATGAATTGGGAAATTACGATACGCAACTTCGGGAGCTAAATAACTTTAGTGAAAAGCTCACAACCGAGTACAACGAAAAAGTTGAGCTCCACGAAGTCTTGGACAAGGCTCGGCGGTTCTTTATGATTGATGCACCTCGACTTGCAGCTGCCGAACAAGACACTTTGGAATTTCCAGATGAAGAAGGTTGGGGCCTTCTGGGCCAACGTCGCGAACAGGACATGCGCTTCTCTTCTATCACTGGTGTCATTTCCAATGATGAGAAAGCCCGGTTTGAGCGAATGATCTTCCGGTCTACTCGTGGAAACGTCTTTATTCGTTTCGCCAACATTGATCAAGCCATCACGGATCCGCACACTGGGATGTCCGTTGAAAAGTCTGTATTCATCATTTTCTACAAGAGTGCAGTTATCGAAGCCAAGCTGGTGAAGATCTGTAGTGCTTTCAGTGCCAATCGTTACAGTGTTCCTGATGATCCTTCCAAGGTTGACGAGATGCTGACAGAAAATGCGCAAGAGCTTGTCGATTCGCGTACTGTCTTGCTTCGGAATCAAGCCGCTCGGTTTCGAATGTGCCAGCTCCTCGCTCGCCATACTGAGAAATGGACATGGATTGTCCTCAAGGAAAAGGCTGTGTATCACTCGCTGAACATGTTCAAGGCTGATGTTTCTGGTATCCTCCGCGGAGAAGCTTGGGTCCTTGCTGAAGAGCGGGAAAAGGTGCGCCGGATTATTATGCAAGCACATGCCAATGTGTGTATCACCATGCAAAGTGTTGTGGACTATGTACCTCAACCTTGGCCGACGCCTCCGACACACTTTGTGACGAACAAGTTCACCTATGGATACCAAGAATTCGTTAACACATATGGTATTCCACGATATCGGGAGGCAAATCCAGCACTTTTTACAGCAGCAACTTTCCCATTTTTGTTTGGTGTCATGTATGGAGATATTGGACATGGTCTATTCCTGTTTTGCGCCGGACTGTTTCTACTGTACAAGGAAAAAGAAAACGACAATGCCAAGCTTGGAGAAATGGCAGAAGGATTGCATGCCGGTCGTTATATGATTACGATGATGGGATTCTTTGCCATTTATGCTGGTTTCATTTACAATGACTGTTTCTCGCTTGGACTGAACTTCTTTGGCTCTAGATACGTCTTTGAGAACCAAGAGTTTGGGAGCATTGAGGAGGGAACCAAGGCGACGCCGATCGGGTCGTATGGATCAGATGAATCTGTTTACCCTTTCGGTCTGGATCCAATCTGGCACGTTTCTACCAACGAGCTTCTGTTCTTCAATAGTTTCAAAATGAAACTTTCTGTCATCTTTGGTATCATGCAGATGTTTATGGGAACATGCCTGAAGGGACTAAATGCAGTCTACTTTGGAGAGAAACTGGATTTTCTTTTCGAGTTTCTGCCGATGGTTGTCTTTGCTTCGTCGCTTTTCGTATACATGGTCTTCTTGATCTTCTTGAAGTGGAGCATTGATTGGAACTCGCGCATGCTTTCCGCAACGTGTTTAGACCCAGCTGGTGACACGTGGGGTTCTCCTGACTTCAATGGTGAATGGACGATGTGCGACAAGAACGGAACCGGTCTTTGTACACCAAGTGGTTACAGTTGTCAAACAGGTGACCTTACGGTACAAAAGTGCCCATTGGATTATGGTGGTTCCGGAGATGGCTGCCAACCACCAAACTTGATCACTACTCTGATCAATATTGCCCTGCAGCCTGGCGATGTCGACGAACCCATGTATGCAGGACAAGACTATGTGCAGTCGATTCTTTTATTACTTGCTTTTGGATCAGTGCCTGTACTGTTGCTGGCCAAGCCATATTTGCTGAGTCAAAAACACCAATACCAACCAATTACTCACCATGGGGATGATGAGGATGATGGACATGAAGAGGAATCTTTTGGAGAGATTCTTATTCACCAAGCCATTGAAACGATTGAGTTTGTTCTTGGTATGGTCTCCAACACAGCATCATATTTGCGTCTTTGGGCCTTGTCACTTGCCCACACAGAACTAGCGACAGTCTTCTGGGAAAAGGCGATGCTATCGACTTTGAACATGAATTGGTTCGCAGCCTACATTGGTTTTGGAGTCTTTGCAGGTGTCACTTGTGGTGTACTGCTTATGATGGATGTCTTGGAATGCTTTTTACATGCATTGCGTTTGCACTGGGTTGAGTTTCAGAACAAATTTTTCAAAGCAGATGGTGTCCGATTTGCACCATATTCATTCAAGCAAATCATAAAGGAGGCTTCATAAGATCCTACTGTCTATGAAAAAATAAATATGCTACTTCTTCAATACCTATCTTTCAATACCTAAGCCTGGAGTGAAGTCGAGTCTCAAGCTTGAAAGTGTGTAAAACTGCAACACTGTCCGTCTGTCCTGATCGATTGAGTCCATTCTCAATTCTCGGATCGACACGAACCACTTCATTTTTTCGTTTCAAAACCATACCTAGCAAAGGAGATACCAACAGTACGGTTGCCTCTACGAAACAGCCATCCATCCACATAGACCAACAATACAAGATGCCAAAAAATAAGGGCTCGAAACGAGCGCGTAGTGGTGGCAAGGGTAGTGGCGAGGGGTCGACTTCCGCCTGGACTGCTAGCGATCACATTGTTCGCAAGGCGAAACAACAGCGAAAGGCTGACGACAAACAAGAGCTACGTGCCCAACGGTCTGCTCTCCTGACCAGGGATTCCAAAGAGAAGCGAGAGGCTGGAAAGTTGCGATTGCATATGAAAAGAGTACAACGACAGATCGACACATTGCGGTCGCGGCTGGAAAGTTGGGATGACGAGGACGAACGAAAATTGGCGGTTCAAAACAAAAAGGAAGAAGAAGCTAGGAAAAAAGAGTTGGAAAATCCAACCAAAAAGAAAAAGGGACGCAAGGGACCAGAAACCTGGAAGTTGAAGGGAGCTGCCAGACCTGCATCGGAAATCTATGATTTTGATACTCGTTACGTTGATCCCTATTTGAAGGCTCACGAAGATGCCAAGAAAAAGGCCCAACGATCTCGGAATGTCTTTGCCTTGTGCAAGGGAAGATTTGGAGAAGAACAATCAAAGGATGTGCCGCAACCGTTCTGTCGTGATTTTCTATCCCTCCTTATGCAGATGGGGAATTTGGCACAACAGGCCAACCAATTGAAAACGGCCCGCAAATCATTTCTTGAATGTTTGGACTTGGATTCCACCCCTCCAATCACCAATGCACGATGTCAGTTAATGAGATTGTACATGGATGCCAACCGACCTGATTCCGCACGACGGCTCTGGGAGAAATTGGGCCCAGAAGATCCATCGGTTTGGATTCGATATTCGGCCGCTTTGATTGAATATGTTAGCTGGAAATTGTTGGAAGAAGAGGGCAGTACACAACAAACAGCCGAGGCTTTGCTGGCAAGAGCCATTCAGACCAATTTGTATTGCGCCTACTATTTGGCCTTTTCTGACACCTTTATCGATGCCATTGACTATGGTGATGAAATCGAAGATGCCAATGAAGATTCTCCACTGGAAGAAGCTATTGAATATTGCAACAGCGAACAAATGGGGGCGTGGCAAGGTACAGAGGGTGCCTGCCAATGGATTCGATCGGTCATTATGAAGGGATTGAAGGATGCCACTTGTGTCGCGGACGGTGCATTGAAAAAGGAAGATTTGGAGTGGCGTCAAAAGTTATCCGAAATGCGTCAGCGATACGAGGAAAGCCGAGCAGCTGAGGATGGGGAGAATGGGGAGAATGAATCCAACATGGAGGAAGAGGAGTCCGGAAACCAATCGGATGAAGAAATGGATGACGATGAATTAGTTGTAGACCTTGGAATGTTTATTGGCATGTTTGAAACCGCCATGGAGATGGTGGAAGATAGCGATGAATACAAGCAAAGCTAGACGCCGATGAGTTAGAGCACGAATTCAATTAAACTGTAGCACTATCTGTTAGCTTTCCTTTGGTACCCCAAATACAAGGTCAAGAAGTTTGTTTGAAAGAATGTTCTTTGGATCGAAAAGAGCCCTAGCTCGGTTGAACTCTGTGACCGGATATCGATCTTGGTAAATCATCTTCATGTCCACTGCTTTTGTGACCGATCGGGGCTCCTCTAGCTTGGCCCAGTGACTGACCATTTGCACAGGTCGCCCCACTTTGCGAACTAAATCACTGTAACTTCCAGTAAACAAATTTGTAATGGCGTTGCGTTGGTCCAGATCGTCCGATGGAAGATAGTTAATGATTCCAATCCAACAAAACAAGCCATCTTCTGGACCATGAGCGGGTGACATTGTCGACGAGGAGGCTGCCGACCATCTCTGTTCAATGGGCGAGTGTGCCGGGATGCCATTTTTCTCAATTCCTTCAAGGAGCTGTTCCATAAATTTAGTGTCATTGTCATTGTTGGTTTCTATCGTACCAGTTGGAAAACAGACCTCAAAGACCCACTGCTGACCTCCACAATCAAACTGAAGTAGCTTATCGCTTGGCTGAGTTTGGTATCCCTCATTCTTCGTCCAAAAGTCTGCTTCTGCTTGGTTGCATCGCTTGACATGATCAATATCCAAAGGATCAAAGGCCAACAACGCATCTCTGACTTCTCCAAACCCCATGCCTTGGACCACTTCGGAATCGTAAGTTATTCCTTTTTCTCCATGCAACTCGGCCAAGAGGTTGGTCAAGGGTGCCATCTTTTGAGCATTGGAACCTGCCGGCGATTGGAAACGTGGAGTACCTTTGGGGACCTGATCCTCGGGATCATTGGTAACCACAACGACCGTGTCTGTATAAGGAATCCACATGTATCGCATGTGTTTATGTTTCTTGAGCAAGTTATCTTTTTGTTCTCGTGCTTGCTGCCGTGTCAGGGTAAAGGTGTGTTCCACCAGTTTGTGAGCTGGAATGCATTCCATTGTAACTTCCACCACCACTCCCAGACAGCCCAGTCCAACCTTGGCCAACTCAAACAATGCTCCATTCTCTTCTTTGGTGAGTGTAATAGTCCCCAAAGCTGGAGTGACTAGTTTTAGTTTGGTAACGTAGTGGTCGACTGGAGCAATGAGCCGCCCTGTACCGTGAGCACTAACTTGCACAAAGCCCCCGAATTGTTGTTCGGCGATACTGGCCAAGTTGGGGAGTGTGAGCTTGTGTTTTCGCAGTGCTTCCACAGCCTTACTGACTGTGATTCCCGCTTGAACCGTAATGGTATTGTTCTTTGTATCAATGTCCAAAACTTGATCCATATTGACCATGGAGATCATTCCGTCTTGATTCAGTGCGATACCGTTGGGACTCAGTGAGGATCCTAGGGGTCTAATCGTCTGACCCTTTTGATGACGTTCCTTGACGATCGCTTCAACTTCTTCGAGTGACTCTGGTTCAAATAGATTCTTGCTCTTGACGGATACTTGATGAGTGCCACTCCAGTTGATGACATCAGTGGTTTCCTCCCCATCGTCATCATCATCATCATCACCATTTCCTGGTTCGCTAATTGTTGAATTGGAGGAGGGAGGAGCTTCCAGTCGAGTAGTTTTGAAGGAATCGCCCTGTTCCTTGAGACATAGGGCACCCAAAAAGAGCGCACTTCCACCGAGCAACGGAGCCAAGTTGGATGAAGATGATTCTTTCGTGTTGGAAGCAGCTGACTGGAACAAGGCGCGTGTTCCAATAGATTGCACCTGCCATCGCCGTTGCCTAGCAAATTTGGTCAAGGACCGTGAAAATGCCTTTGCCACCATTGTATTTGTTGTGATTTTGAAAGTAATGCACGCTTTGAAAGGATTACAGTATAATACAGTATTGCTGAGGTTGATGGATGTCTCGTGACTCGTGAGATATCTACAGTATGTTTATTTGTCGCGATCCATTTTTTTCGATTGACGATTTCGTGTCAGTCCAGACGAACGTTTGTCTGTCTGTCCACTTTGACTTTGACTGCCACAGCGGACCAAACTGAAGTCAATGCAAAGATCAATTGTCCATCCAAACATCACTTTGCCGCAATCGTAAAGGGACAAGGACATAGTTTTTCACCTCAATTGAATTTAATCTGACGATAGTCTGGTTAGAGAATTTCGCTCGGTCGAGTTGGAGTGTTGAAAGATGTCGCAGTATCCAAACGATGATGGATCCTCCAAGCGGCCGCGATACAGCAACATCCCGCCTCCTCCACCTGGGATGGCCCCTCCTGGTATGGGTCCACCTCCTGGAATGGGACCTCCCCCAGGCATGGCACCGCCTGGAATGGGACCACCTCCAGGCATGGCGCCACCAGGAATGGGTCTTCCCCCGGGAATGGCTCCACCAGGCATGACAGCTCCTAATGGAATGCCACCACCTGGGATGGTTCCTCCTGGCATGGCACCTCCTGGTATGGGTCCACCAGGAATGGGACCTCCTCCTGGAATGGATCCCATGCAACAACCAATGTACCATGGTGGTTATGATCCTCATGGAAGTGAGGTTCTCCCTCCTCCTCCTGGCATGTTTGCGGCTCCTCCTGGCATGCAAGGTCCCCATCAAAACTTTCAAGTCAGTGAAGAGGAAGCGGCCGAAAAGGCCAAGAAGTGGGAAGAGATGCAGTCTCAAAGTTACAACGAACCCAAAAAGATGCAAGCTACTTCGGCACCTCAAAAGGAAGTCATGCCTGCAGATTTTCTCCGAAAGATTTTGCAAGATCACGGAGACATGTCGAGCAAGAGATATCAATCCGAGAAGCGATTGTATTTGGGTGCGCTGAAATATGTTCCTCATGCCTTGTACAAACTGCTGGAAAACATTCCCATGCCTTGGGAATCGTACAAGGAAGTCCCCGTCCTGTTTCATATTACAGGTGCCATTTGTTTTGTGGACCATGTGCCAAAGGTGATCGAACCAGTGTATAGAGCCCAGTGGGGTACTGCCTGGCTCATGATGCGTCGGGAAAAGAGAGATCGCCGGCACTTCAAGCGAATGCGATTTCCTCCCTTTGATGATGAGGAACCTCCTCTTGATTATGTCGACCATTTGTTGAATGTGGAACCGGCAGAGGCTGTCCAATTGGATCTGAGCGACGACCAGTACGAATTGATTAGAGATTGGTTTTACGATCCAGAGCCACTCAGTGATATTCGTACGGAAGGGCCCAATCCATTGTCCAAGCATGTTTACGTGAATGGTCCGAGTTACAAAAAGTGGAGGTTGAGCACAGAGATCATGATACAACTTTATGATCTTGCGCAACCATTACTCAATACTTTTCCGGATAAAAATTTGCGATACCTCTTTGACTTGCCGCAATTCTTGACAGCAAAGGCGTTGAATGCGGCCATTCCAGGAGGTCCCAAGTTTGAACCCTTGTTTCGGGATGTGGACGAGGATGAAGATTGGAACGACTTTAACGATATTTCCAAAATCATCATTCGGCAACGCATTCGTACCGAGTATAAGATTGCCTTTCCTCACGTGTACAACTCTCGTCCACGCAAGGTGAAGTTGGCACCGTATCATCACGTTCAGTCGAACTATGTGGGAGATGGAGACGAAGAGGAAGGCGTCCATTGCTTTCAAGCGTACCCATCACAGCTTAATCCAATTATGCGAGTGGAACAAGACAGCTGGAAAGGAGATTATGACGAATTCGAAGATGACGACTTTGACCTTCCATTGGTTGGTGAATGCGAAGATGAAAATGATGATGTTTGGGCACAACACTTTCAAGAAGATGATATGGACTATGGGGAAGGAAGTGATGCTGGTGACGAACCACTCACCACATCGGTTACTCCCTTCCTTGCAGATGCACCATTGTCCACACCTCAGACTTCAGCTGGTATCGCATTGTATGCTGCTCCGCATCCATTCAACATGAGATCTGGTCGTACAAGACGCACCATTGACATTCCTCTGATAGGTCATTGGTTCCGCGATAGAATTTCGAGGGATTTGAATTATCCTACCAAGGTTCGTGTGTCCTATCAAAAGCTACTCAAGGCATGGGTATTGAATCAATTGAATGCCAAACCACACAAACCAAAAACAAAACGAGCATTGTTCAAGAGTCTCAAGAGTACCAAGTTCTTTCAATGTACGGAATTGGATTGGGTGGAAGTCGGTCTACAAATATGCAGGCAGGGACATAATGTGCTGAATCTTCTCATTCATAGAAAGCAACTCAAGTACCTGCATTTGGATTACAATTTCAACTTGAAACCAACCAAGACTTTGACAACCAAAGAGAGAAAGAAATCTCGTTTCGGAAATGCTTTCCACTTGGTTCGAGAGATTTTGCGCTTGACAAAACTGATTGTGGATGCGCATGTGCAGTACAGATTGTCCAACATTGATGCCTTTCAGCTCAACGATGGTCTGCAATATGCCTTCAACCACGTTGGGCAATTGACAGGAATGTACCGTTACAAGTATCGTCTTATGCGACAGATTCGTACTTGTAAGGATCTCAAGCACTTGATCTACTATCGCTTCAACACAGGTCCTGTTGGAAAGGGACCTGGTGTTGGTTTCTGGGCACCAAGTTGGAGAGTTTGGATGTTCTTTTTGAGAGGTATCGTGCCACTTTTGGAGAATTGGTTGGGGAACTTGCTCGCGCGTCAATTTGAAGGACGTTTGTCCAAGTCATTCGCTAAGAATGTGACCAAGCAGAGAGTCGAGTCGCACTTTGATTTGGAACTCCGCGCTTCAGTCATGCATGATATCCTCGACATGATGCCCGCAGGAGTAAAGCAAAACAAGTCTCGAGTCATCCTCAGTCATTTGAGTGAAGCATTCCGTTGCTGGAAGGCAAATATTCCGTGGAAGGTTCCTGGTATGCCTGCTCCAGTCGAAAACATGATCTTACGTTATGTCAAGGCAAAGGCTGATTGGTGGACCAATATTGCCCACTACAATCGCGAAAGAATCAAGCGTGGTGGAACTGTTGACAAGACGGTTGTGAAGAAAAACCTGGGTCGTTTGACTCGTCTTTGGTTGAAGGCAGAGCAAGAAAGGCAGCACAACTACCTCAAGGATGGGCCATACGTATCAGCAGAGGAAGCAGTTGCGATCTACACCACAACAGTGCATTGGTTGGAAAGCCGAAAGTTCACTCCAATTCCGTTCCCCCCGCTGTCATACAAGCACGACACCAAGTTGCTGATCTTGGCACTAGAACGACTGAAGGAAAGCTATGGCCTCCAGGCTCGTCTAAACAGTGCTGCCAGAGAAGAGCTTGCACTCATCGAACAAGCCTATGATAACCCCCACGAGGCTTTGAGTCGAATCAAACGACACTTGCTAACCCAAAGAACTTTCAAGGAAGTGGAGATTGAGTTCATGGATATGTACCAGTACCTATCTCCTGTTTACACGATTGAGCCGCTGGAAAAGATCACCGATGCGTACTTGGATCAATATTTGTGGTATGAAGCTGACAAACGGCATTTGTTCCCAAGCTGGATTAAGCCTGCAGATTCAGAGCCGCCACCGCTGTTGGTGTACAAATGGTGTCAAGGTATTAACAACTTGGAAGACATTTGGGATGTCGATGACAATGGGGACAGTGTTGTACTCCTCCAGTCAAAGTTTGAGAAATTCTACGAGAAGATTGACCTCACCTTGTTGAACCGTCTATTGAGATTGATTGTGGATCATAATATTGCAGATTATATGACCGCCAAGAACAATGTCAGCATCTCGTTCAAGGATATGATGCACACAAACAGTTATGGTTTGATCAGAGGTTTACAGTTTGCATCCTTTATCACTCAGTATTATGGTCTGATTCTTGACCTGCTGGTCCTTGGATTGAGAAGAGCAAGTGAGATTGCTGGACCTCCACAACGACCAAACGAGTATCTCACCTTTGCAGATATCGAGACTGAAGTAAGTCATCCGATCCGCATGTATACTAGGTACCTGGACAAGGTGTACATGCTGTTCAAGTTTGATTCCAATGATAGCAAGGACTTGATCCAGCGATACTTGATTGAGCACCCCGATCCAAACAATGAGAATGCTGTTGGATACCGAAACAAGAAGTGTTGGCCTCGCGATTGCCGTATGCGCTTGTTGAAGCGGGATGTGAACCTTGGCCGAGCGGCGTTCTGGGACATGAAGAACCGTCTTCCAAGAAGTGTCACCACTCTTGACTGGGACAATTCCTTTGTCAGTGTTTACAGCGCCGACAATCCGAACTTGCTCTTCGATATGTGTGGATTTGAAGTAAGAATCAATCCTATCAGAGCTGTTCGACGTGACCCAATCAGCGGAGGTTTTGCAGAGCCTACTGGAACGACTTATCGTGATGGTGTGTGGAATCTCCAAAACGATACGACTAAGGAAATGACAGCTCAGGCACACCTTCGAGTCGAGGAGGAAGCTGTTCAAGCTTTCGATAACAGAATCCGACAGATCTTGATGAGTAGTGGAGCAACGACATTCACCAAGATTGCCAATAAGTGGAACACCGCATTGATTGGATTGATGACATATTATCGTGAAGCAGTGCTAAACACACAAGAGCTTCTCGATATGCTGGTAAAGAACGAGAACAAGATTCAAACTAGAATCAAAATTGGTCTGAACAGTAAGATGCCAAGCCGTTTCCCTCCTGTTGTCTTTTATTGCCCAAAAGAATTGGGTGGTTTGGGTATGTTGTCAATGGGTCATGTTTTGATCCCTCAAAGTGATCTGCGCTTCAGCAAGCAAACTGATATGGGCATTACACATTTCCGATCTGGTTTGAGCCACGACGCGGACCAACTTATCCCAAATCTTTTCAGGTACTTGCAACCATGGGAAAGTGAGTTTGTTGATTCTCAGCGCGTGTGGGCCGAATACGCTCTGAAGCGGCAAGAGGCAAACAGCCAGAATCGCCGGTTGACGTTGGAGGATCTTGAGGACTCTTGGGATCGCGGTATCCCTCGTATCAACACATTGTTCAGCAAGGACCGTCACACCTTGGCATACGATAGAGGATGGAGATTGAGAACAGAGTTCAAGCAATACCAGATTCTTCGAGTCAATCCCTTCTGGTGGACGCATCAGCGCCACGATGGAAAGCTATGGAACCTCAATGCCTACAGAACAGATATGATCCAAGCTCTAGGTGGTGTTGAGGGAATTCTAGAGCACAGTCTTTTCAAGGGCACGTACTTCCCAACCTGGGAGGGTCTTTTCTGGGAGAAGGCTTCTGGCTTCGAAGAGAGTATGAAATTGTGAGTTAAACGAATGTGCTCCTCCTCCCGATACAGTTTCCCCGTTTTTCTAACCTTGATTTTCCACCACAGCAAAAAATTGACCAACGCTCAGCGATCTGGTCTTACGCAGATTCCAAACCGTCGTTTCACCTTGTGGTGGTCGCCAACCATCAATCGGGCAAATGTCTATGTTGGTTTCCAAGTGCAATTGGACCTAACTGGGATCTTCATGCACGGAAAGATTCCAACCTTGAAGATCTCGTTGATTCAAATCTTCCGAGCACATCTCTGGCAAAAAATTCATGAGAGTATTGTCATGGACATCGCACAGGTTTTCGATCAGGAACTCGATGCTTTAGAAATCGAGAGTGTTCAGAAAGAAACAATTCACCCAAGAAAGTCTTACAAGATGAACAGCAGTTGTGCCGATCTTGTTTTGTTCGCAGCATACAAGTGGCCAGTCTCAAGACCAAGTTTGCTGCATGACACCAAGGATGACTATGACGGTAGCACATCGAACAAATATTGGCTTGATGTCCAATTGCGCTGGGGCGACTTTGATTCTCATGATATTGAACGTTACTCAAGGGCCAAATATCTCGACTATACTTCCGACAACATGAGCATTTATCCTTCTCCAACAGGTTGCTTGCTTGCCATTGACCTTGCATACTCGTTGTACAGTGGTTTCGGAAACTTCGTTCCTGGTGGGAAACCACTGTTGCAACAAGCTATGGCAAAGATCATCAAAGCCAACCCTGCACTTTACGTTCTTCGCGAGCGCATCCGAAAGGGTCTGCAGTTGTACTCCAGTGAACCGACTGAGCCTTACTTGAGTTCCCAGAACTACGGAGAACTCTTCAGTAACCAAGTGATCTGGTTCGTCGATGACACCAACGTTTATCGAGTGACGATTCACAAGACTTTTGAAGGAAACCTAACAACCAAGCCCATCAACGGAGCTATCTTTATTTTCAACCCAAGAACTGGTCAGTTGTTCCTCAAGGTTATCCACACTAGTGTTTGGGCCGGCCAGAAACGTCTCTCGCAGCTTGCAAAATGGAAGACTGCCGAAGAAGTTGCCGCTCTTATTCGCTCGCTACCCATCGAGGAACAGCCAAAGCAGATTATCGTTACTCGCAAGGGAATGTTGGATCCATTGGAGGTTCACTGTCTCGATTTCCCCAACATTGTTTTGAAGGGATCCGAACTTCAGCTTCCGTTCCAAGCTGCATTGAAGGTCGAGAAATTCGGCGATCTCATTCTGCGAGCAACAGAACCACAGATGGTCCTCTTCAACATCTACGATGATTGGCTCAAATCGATTTCGTCCTACACAGCTTTCTCGAGATTGATTCTCATCTTGCGTGGTCTTCACGTCAATGTTGACAAGGTGAAGCAAATCCTTCGACCTGACAGAAGTGTGGTCACTGAGCCCCATCACGTGTGGCCAAGTCTATCTGATGAGCAATGGATCAAGGTCGAGGTTGCTCTAAAGGATCTGATTTTGGCAGACTATGGAAAGAAAAACAATGTAAACGTTTCCAGTCTCACTCAAAGCGAAATCCGTGACATCATTCTTGGTATGGAAATTGCTCCTCCTTCTGTTCAACGGCAACAAGTTGCAGAAATTGAAGCCCAGACTCGTGAGCAATCTCAGATGTCCGCTACGACCACTAAAACCACAAACGTCCATGGCGAACAGATTGTTGTTACTACCACAACTCAATATGAAGCTGCAGCCTTCCAGAGCAAAACAGACTGGAGAGTACGTGCTATCAGTGCTACAAATCTGCACCTCCGAACCAAGCACATCTACGTTTCTTCTGAAGATATTTCAGAGGACGGTCTTACCTATGTGCTACCAAAGAATATTCTGTCCAAGTTCATTACAATTGCTGACCTTCGTACGCAAATTGCGGGTTACTTGTATGGCGTTACGCCACCTGATAATGACCAAGTTCGCGAAATTCGTTGCATCGTCATGGTTCCCCAGGTTGGAAACCACCAGAGTGTGACAATGCCGAAGAACTTGCCCGATGACACAATGTTGGAGGATTTGGAGCCACTTGGATGGATCCACACGCAACCTAATGAACTCATTCAGAATGGTTCTCAAGTATTGCCGGCCCCTGATGTGGTCTCCCATGCATCAATCATGGCAGACAATCCTGATGCCTGGAATGGCCAGAACGAGATCATCATCACAAGTTCTTTCACACAAGGCTCGTGCTCTTTGACTGCCTACCATGTAACGGAGACTGGTCTTGAGTGGGGCAAAAAGAGTCGCAATGTTGCTGGAGGCGTTGCCAATGCTGAGAATTATAACTCTGCCTGTTTTGAGAAGGTTCAAATGCTTTTGAGTGACCGATTCAAGGGATTCTTCATGGTTCCCAGCGATGGTCTTGGATGGAACTACAACTTCCAAGGTGTCAAGCATAGCGTCGGAATGGAATATTCCCTCAAAATGGATGTTCCAGAGAGCTTCTACGCAGAATGCCATCGTCCACAACATTTCTTGTCATTTGTGCAAATGGAAGAGGGAGATGCCGATGACGGTGCTGATGTTGATGACTTCCTCGAGTTTGTTTAAACATTGTCCAATACTCCCACCTACTACAATAAACTTTTGACTACCACTTTTTTCTTTAGTCTTTTTGACAAGTACCGGTAGTATAGTGATGACGTCACAAAAATGAAACCATGGGAAAACAGAAAACATGACACATCTTTCCAGCATGAAATCCCTTGTACTTGCCATTCTCGCTTTGGTATTTGCATTGAACCACGTCGACGCGTTAGTCTTCCAGAGGGCTCCAAATGTCAGCCCTCTACTTTCTAAGCTGGACGCCTTGATTGAATCGACCTCCAGCAATCCAAACGATCCAAATACACAAGAGGAAATAAAAGCAATGATGGTGAATATCAGTGAATCGCGACAAGGCGATCAACGGAAGAAGCTCCCAGGGCAGTGGGAACTCATATTTACAACCGAGAAGGAGGTGAACTTTTTCAAAACTAGCTGGCCCTTTGCCTCTGTGAGCGACATTGTCCAAGATCTCGATTTGTACAACAGCCAAAGTATTGACAATTCAATCAACTTTGAAACGGGTGGAAAGTTTGCTGTAACTGGAACCGCAAAGGCCATTGACGGTGACAGTGAATTCGACCGTGTTGGTTTTGAGTTTAAAAGTGCGGCGATCACTGCATGGGACAAAACCTTTCAGATTCCACCGGTTGGCGCCGGGTGGTTTGACACGATGTACTGCGATGACTGCTATCGTTTGAGCCAAGATGTAAGAGGTGATTGGTCAGTCTTTCGTAGAAGATAGCTGCTGTTTCTCTCTGTTGCTACAGAGCGAGGATTATGTGTGCATCAGTAGATTTAAACAAAAGAGCTCATTTTGAAAATAGGTTCTATAATAGTGAATCGTCACTTTCGGAGCTGCTCCTTAAGTGGACTCGATCGAGACCTTGGATATAGGACTCCAAATCATGATGTTTCCACATACTCTTGCTGAGTAGTATGTCATTGAGTTGCCACAGAAGATTCGCGCGCAGGGCTTCTCGTCCTCCCTTCTGAAGGTTTCCCACTTCATGGATACTACAAGCTCCTCCTAACCGCCTTGGCCGAACCAGGTATGCCTTGCCTGGAATCGAAAGCTTAATCTCTTCTCCTTCGCTTCCATGAGCATGGCTCTTGAATCCTGCCATGGTCAGGGACAGTGTATCTGATACAAGACCCAAATTCTGACCCAGGAATCCGCCATGAACCGTCTTTTCTACTCGCCCTCGCAAGTGATCCAAGGTTTCATGTGTAGTACGTGACACAATATCATCCCCGTAGATGAAGGATGTACAATACGCTGCAACGACGTTTCCTGATAAGCTTGGCGGAGCTCCCAGCGATAAGGCAGAAGATCGTGCTCTTCCCAGGCCATTTAGCGGTTCTGACATTATTGGATCGATTGGGTTCTCTTGTCCTTCGTCATTTTCATCCTTGTCTTCTTCTCCACTTTCTGATTTTTTTGCGTCGGCTGCAGCCTCTTTTACATCGATATCGGCTTCGTCTTCCATCTTCTTATTTTGTCTTTTCGTGGAAGATTTCCTCTTGCTGCTACTAGGGTTCGCATTATCACTGGAGACTTTCCCTTTGGGCATGGGGATGCTCCCATCCAAGATGGTGGCCGCCAAACTTGCCACTCCTCCAGCAAGAGAACGTCCCACAAAGTGAATTGCTGCCTTGGAACGATTTGGGTCTCGCAAATAGGGTTCAATCGATTGCAAAACTTGACCTGCAGCCTTGTACAGCTGAGGTTGGACCGAAACCACCTCGCCAGCAATCAAACCGGTGGACAGCTTGACTCGTTTTGGTTTCTGTGATAGAATTTGAAGCGTTTCTACAAAATCTTCAGATATCGAGTCGTCCAATACCACCAAAAAGCGTCCCCTTTTCTCTTTATTGTTATTATTGTTTGGTGACGACTGATGATTGTCGCTACAGGAAAAATACATGATCGAACCGTGCTCCAAGCCAGCTCCTCGATCATAATCCTCTTCGTACAAGACCAATACAGAAAGCTTTGACTTTCCCAAACTGATGCAACCTTTCTTTCCTTCTTTGCTTTCATCCCCACCATTCCTTTTGTTAATTTTGCCGTTGTATAAGATCTGAATTCGATTTCCATTGCACGACAGCGACGCTGCTTCTTCATTTTCTTCCAAAGAATCTACTGCTTTTTTGCTGTTCTCATCTTTTCTTGTGGATTGTGTTGATTCTTTCAATCTCGACTCCTCCTCCTCTGATGACGACGGTTCTTCTGTTTGGGACAGCAGTTGCAAATCCAAAATTTCCACTAGTTCACACGCCCAAAGAGCCTCGGCAGTAGCTGCTACCCGCGCCGCACTGCGTTGGGCTCTACCCGCCACTGAGGTGTCTACTTCGTTTCCATTGATATTCGTCCGTTGGTAGGCTTCGTGTGCCATTCCATCCAAATTCTTGAAGGCATTTTGAGAACTGGCTAGTCTGGTAAGTGATTGAGTCAATTGATCCAATTGACAATCGGGGAAATCGTCTTGGAGCACTTGGGCCAGAGATTCAAAGCTATCATTGATGTCACTGCGTGTGCTAGTCTTCTTTTTTCGTTTGCCTCCAGCACTTCCCCCTGCTCTCAGCGATTGAATTATTGAATTCATTTTGTCTTCATCATCAATTGAAATCGCCGTTGTCGCTTTTGCTTTGGTGATTCCGAATGTGGATTCGGCTGTGGAATGAGATCTCGCTTGACATGATGAGGTGATTGTCGACAATAAAAACAGTGACGTGGATGAGAATTTTAGCACTCTGTCCCTGAAAGTTCTTCTTCGTAAATTCTTCATTTTTTCTTTCCTTCCAATCGCAAGTTTAGGCTTAGATTTGTTGCCTCAATATCGTCGCCTACCGGTACAAGTACCAGGGTACGATAGGTCTGTTGTTGCGATTGAAAACAAAGGATCATTGACACGTGTTAAAAAAGTATTGTATCCTCCCCCTTTTTTGGTAGAAAATCAGTGCCTCCCCCTTTAAAGTGCCGATCGTTTTCTTCCGAAGGGCGTCTGTCTGCCACCGGAAGCGACTTTTTCGAATGGAAAAAGAACACATCAGGCAGGCCCAACCAACAACGTGTCGAGAACAACGGGAATGAATCATCACATCAGATAGCTTAGAACATCTGTATTTGCAACCACCTATTGCCTGATCAGAACACAAATCAAACAATACATCAAGACCTCTTGATAAACCCGAAAAGTCTCAGTCGAAAGATTGAGAGTTGAAAACACACAAAAGTACATTCGAACTTCTTTGAGTGAATCAGTCAGTCTGAAGTCTTTTGGATCATAATAAAATCATAATGACAGTAATGACACGTCGCAAACAAATGAAGCGATCTACCCTCCTCATTGGAATCCTGGCATCTACATCCTACAGTGACGCCTTTCAGAACGCTCACTCTACCAGAGCTGCAAACAGCTTTGATGCTGCCCTTGGCAAACGGTCACGAGAGGATTCTCGCTTATTCGTTCTGTCGTCACCTCCTCAGTCTGAAACCACAAATCATCATGACGAAGGAGACAGTGATATCAAACCACCACTAGATCCCCTCTTTCAAATGGACGATGTAAAAGACAACGACCTTTATCATGTGGAAGACACGGCAGACGACGACCAGAAAGAACCAACACAGTTTGCCGAGTTGGTCATGGAGGAGGACGGCGAAGAAGAAGAGCCAGAAGATGATTTCAGCTTTTACTATCGTGACGAGGATGATATGTTGACGGAACGAGAAGACCGTCTTTACGTTGATGAAAATGGTTTCCGACGCAAGGTGGAACGATGCTTCTTGGTGGGTGTGGAAGCTCTTGCGGAACAACGCAGAGCCAAATGGGCCGATCAATATTACGATCCACTGAATGGAGCTGCGGGAGCTCCTACCTTTTCGCTAGAAGAGAGTCTGATCGAAATGAGGGATCTCATCAAAACCGCTGGTATGGAAGTCACTGGAGAAATTACGCAACGATTGCAAGATGTGAATCCTAGAACCTACATTGGGACAGGAAAAGTCAAGGAAGCCCAAGAAATGATGGAGGAATTGGGATGCACGACAATCGTCTTTGATGCCGAATTGTCCCCAGGACAACAAAAGTCACTGGAAAATATCTTCAACCGAAATCTGTTGAATAATGACTTTTTGGTACAGGAACGAGAGATTAAGGTGATTGACCGAACGGCGCTCATCTTGGACATTTTCGCACAACACGCTAGAACCCGAGAGGGTAAGCTGCAGGTCGATCTTGCGCTCCACGAATACCGTAAGCCACGATTGACCAAAATGTGGACGCACTTGGAGCGTCAATCTGGAGCAGGAGGTGTCGGTCTCCGAGGTCCAGGAGAATCTCAGTTGGAAATTGATAAACGTTTGGTACGAGATCGTATCATTGTTCTCAAGAAAAAGATTGATGACATTCAAAAGCAGCGATCAATTCATCGACGCGGACGCAAACGCACCGGACTGCCCATTTTATCCATTGTCGGTTACACAAATGCTGGAAAGTCATCACTTCTGAATTACTTGACTCGTGCTGGCGTCATGGCGGAATCCATGCTTTTTGCGACGCTTGACCCCACCACTCGCAAGGTGAAATTACCAGGGTACCGAACTCACCCTGAAGTTTTGCTGACGGATACAGTCGGGTTCATTCAAAAGCTACCAACCAACTTGGTCGCAGCCTTTCGAGCCACTTTGGAGGAAGTTCAAGAAGCTGATGTGTTGGTTCATGTCATTGACGTTTCCAATCCCTCCTGGGAAAAGCAAGAGCGTGCCGTCAATGCCGTTCTAGCAGACATTGGAATTGAGGACAAACCAATCGTTCGCGTTTTGAACAAGATTGATTTGTTGGATCCAGAGGATGCAGAGTATCTCCGATACGAAGCTGCCTTTTCTGATAATACAGTTGCCGTTTCGGCATTGTATGGAGATGGTCTACAAGACTTTGTGGCCTGTGTTGAGGACGCCATGTCCGACTTGTTAGTCCCAATTGAAATGGAGATTCCGTACGATAAGGGAGACGACTTAAACATGATTCACGAACAAGGAAACGTAGAGACAATCGACTATCGAGAAAAAGGAACTTATGTGCTTGCGCGAGTCCCTACCGCTCTTGCCAATCGATTGGAGAAGTACAGTCTGGCGGGATCTGAAGAACCAGTGACGAAAGAAGGTGAGGAGGAAATCGACTGGGTTGCGATTGGCAGAGGGAGGCACAGTGTTGAGAACAAATAAATTATAATAGGCTAACCGCAGTTTAATCAAGCGTGAGATAATAAAAGCATTCACAAAGTTACAAAAAGTCCTAAATCAATTTATTCTGATTATTTCAAACTTCGATTCACCACCACCAAAATGACAAATACACTCGTTTGGTGCCAATTATTTGACCAGACGGTCGGTCAGCTGCTCTTGTTTCGTCGTTGTTTTTTAATTGAGGGTTTGCAAAGCATTTGTGAAATCCTCTGGGTTCATAAAGTCTGTAGATCCAATAATGATTTCCCGAGATTCCTTTTCCATCACCTTGCGCGCCACCTTCATCTCTGAGTACGCCAATCCCCCAAGCATAAAGACAAGATTTCGAGAACCGGTAAAAGCGATAGCCTCAGCTCCAGCTTTAGCATCACCTTTGCCCCATTTGCTAGCACCCTTTGCTCGAGCACTAGGCTTCGCACTTCGGGCGCTTCTCGCACTCTTGCTGCCAGAAGCAACGGTGGCTGAAGGTGGCATGGGAACAACACTGGGAAAGTCGTCAAGGCTCAATGTGTTTGCTACCAGGTCATCAAGAATGTCCTTCAGAATGGGTACGTATCGGCTCGATGCATATTCGCTCTCCTCCTCTTCGTCATCGGTGCCCCCCTTGAATTTACTGCATAGGGAAAATTGACATCAGTCGATCTATTCGAAAACAACGACTCATTTCACTCGGTGCATGCTTCAACGTACCTGAATAAACCGCCTCCACCCTTCTTTTTCTTTTTTCGTTCCATCGGTGTGCCTCCACCAGCACTGAGTTTCTCAACACTGTCCAGAGCCAACATTTGATCCCGATCCAACTTTGCTGCACGAAGCAGTCTATCTCTGTCAGACAGTTTCTTTCCTAGGCCGACGATGGCAATCAAGACAAGGCGAAGACGTGATTGGGAATCATTCATTCGCAAAAGGGATTGCTCGACCATACCAACGAGGTCATCTGTATCGACCTTATCGCCATCTTCGTCTACCCCAGTGGCTAGTGTTTGTTCAATTTCACTCAGGTCGATAAGACCTTCGGCACTGAACTTGTCCATACACTCACGAGAAATGTGCATGTGCTGGGATAATTTTGCCATGACTTCACGGTATTCTGGCAATGCCTTCAAGGCTGACGCAAGCTCAGTCAGAGAAACATCCTTCCCAGAACCTCCCAAAGCATTTCCAGAACCAGAGTTAACAGTTTCCGAAATTCGCGTCGACAGGATCTCAATAACCTCAGCAATGTGCTTTGAACGCAATTCAACCCACAGCTTATCCTTATCATTCAGCAAGACATCCTTGGCATCGTAATCATCAGGATTATCGGCACTTTCTACGTTAACAGTGATTTTGTCACCATCAATCTCTAATAAATCTTGGACCATGGCTTGGTAGGTAAAGTCGTGCATCAAAGGGGTCAGACAATCAGATGCACGATCCAACAGCAAGATTGTTGATCGTTCCAATTCCGTACTTTGCTTGCCACTCTTTCCACTTCCATGATACCACCAGTTGGGATTCTTGGATACAAATTTATCCATCTTCTTTTTGAACTTTGTGGCAAGACTGGTGCAGGGTCCTGATGATTGATTGTATCGAATGTATGGATATTCGTTCAGCGAAGCACAAAGTGTAACCAACTTCTCAGCGATTGCAGTCTCTGCTTCTTTTCCCGCCTTTCCTGCATAATACTGGCTGAATTCGGCATCCACGTCTAGTTTGAATGCCCGATCTTCCTTCACCAAAAAGTCGACGTTAATCTCCGAAAGAGCTTTCAGGCGCTTCACCAGCTGCTTGCATTGCGTAACCATTTCAAGAAGTTGCTTTGGTACGGGACCCAGGAAGTATACAAAGGCTGAATCGCCATATAGAAGCTTTGACTTATCCTGATAGTCCGCCACTAGCTTCTCTACACTTTCTATAGTTGGTGATAATATATAGATGGCTGCCATATCTTTGAATGGAGCTCTCTTCTTATCCAAAGATTCGACCAAAGAAATCTGCCGTTCCATGATATCGTACATACCAACAGTTGCTGAAATTACCTTCATTGATGGATCATCTACGATCAAGATCTTCCAACCAGAGTGACCAGCTGCAAAAGCAATCATAGATCAGAGGTTAATAAAATCCAATGGAAGATCATCAAATGAAATGAATGCGGTCGACTAACTAGATTTGCTCAACTTGAGACTTCGTACCTTTGGCATTATCAAAGACATCTTTCAGAAATCGCTGTTGGACGACTTCCAAGAGGCCCAATTGATTGTATTCTCCATGAGTCGAGCCACTAGCATCCAGAGCGGCAGCTCCCTTTTTTGCTTTGGTCTTTTTCTCTTTTTTTCCAGCACGGGCACTTGCTGCACCGGCACCGGCACCGGCACGGGCACTTGCTCCTTTTTTTGTTCTAGCCGATGACATGGTTGTTTCTTGTTGGTGTCTCGACTATGGTAGACACGACAAGACTAGACTAGACTAGACTAGACTTCAGGTTATGTCAATCACAGACCCGTCGTTTGTTGGGGGTTGGGTTCATTCGTTCCTTCCGATTGGATCTGTTCGCAAGAGTCGGAGTCATGTTTGTACTGCAAAATACGTAGGATTCTACAGGTCCGTTAGAGGGGGAGATTGAAAAGTCATTCCGAAGATCCCTATAAGGGGTTTCAATCCATCCCATCCCCCTCATTTTTACGTGTTCCAAGCAAAAGTATTCGATTGCGGAGGCTTCCTTCTCAACATTAATGTTGTCGTTTCCAAACCACCACCACCGCCATCACCACCACCATCATCATGGCAGATAACCAGGCAGATCAGGAAAGCTTCGGGGCAGGTCCCATAAATCCAACTAACGCGATTGATCCCCGTATGAAGAAGGACAAACATAAATTTCTATGGTCTCGAGTACACCTTTCGCATGATTCCATCGTTCCGCCACCGAGATCGGGTGCTGCAAGTGTGGTAGTCCAAGGGAAGCTATATGTTTTTGGTGGATACGGGGTATGTGAAAGGATGATATCATCACCATTGAAGTGTGGTGTGAAATGACGATTTTATTTCTAACGCCTATAACTTCGATCTTTAGGGAGGAACGGGGCGATTGAACGATTTCTATGCATATGACTTTCGAAAGAATGGTTGGGAAGAGGTCAAAGTAGAGGGGGAAACTAGACCAGGGCGCCGAGAAAACAACGGAGTTGTCATTTCGGATTCTAGTAAATCAATTTATTTGTTCGGCGGTAAGGCTTGACAGGAATGCTTGTTATGCATGGCTGTGATTAGACAGAAACTGACTGATGTCTTGCCCTCTTCAAGGATATGATGGCACGGCGTGGCTGAATGACTTGTGGAAATATAACATTAAAAGTCGTCGATGGACTTGTATTCAGGAATCCTCAGATCAAACTTCGGACCACGGAGAAGATGCTGGTGCAGGACAGGTGGCAGAGAGCAACATAATTCCTTCGAGGAGGTTTGGATACGTGAGCGTTGTGCACAATGGCAAGCTTCTCGTGTTTGGAGGATTCGATGGGAGTAGATGGATGGCAGATATGTATGTTTTTGATTTCAGGACGAGAAAATGGAGCGAGATTGCGGCAAAAGGCAATATGCCGTCACCGAGGTCTTGTCCTGCATGGGCCAAAGATGACACTCATGTCTACATTCAAGGTATGTACTTACAATGTTGGCTTATTGCCTAGTGCACTTTAATTTCTCGCACATGATTTATTGATGATTGATTGACTCATTACGATCAGGAGGATATGATGGAGTCGAAAGGAAGGACGATTTTTTTGCTTGTGACTTATCAACCTACACTTGGACGCAGATGCCGTCCCTTGGTGTTACTCCAAGTCCTAGATACTTTCACTCTTGTTGTCTGTATGGTCACAAGATGTATTTGTACGGAGGATATTCTGGACAAACGCGTCTAGCTGACATGTAAGTTCGCTGGTCCGTGTTTGCTGTTTCACAAAACAGCCATCAGACTAACAGCTCCAAAGGTTCGTGTACGATTTTGAAACGAACCACTGGTCCGAGGTTGATTGTTCCAACGGACAACCGCCAACTGGTCGGTCATCGCTTGTCACTCAAGTCTATGAAAACAATTTGTACGTATTTGGTGGATATGATGGCAAAAAGGTTTTGAGCGACTTTTATAAGTTCAAACTGAAACCCATTGGGGTACCTCCAATGTCGTTGGTGAATGATTTCCTAAAGCTGGTCAACCAACCAGATACATCCGATGTCACCTTTATTGTCGAAGGAGAGGAAGTGTATGCACACCGTGCCATTCTAGCAGTTCGATCGGAGTACTTTCGTGCTCTACTATTCAACGGCCTCTTGCGAGAATCAGTAACTACAGATTCAGCGACCAAACCAATAAGTATCCAAGATGTATCCCATTCTGTTTTCCTGAAAGTTTTGGAATATCTTTACACCGATACAATACAGGAGATCACCTTGGAACTTGGTATGCATCTGCTGATTGCTAGTGAACAGTTCATGCTTGATCGATTGAAAGCTCTCTGCGAAGACCTTATCCGAAGAGAAATCAATGTTCACAATGCAATCAACATTCTTGTTGTGAGCCATCAGCACAATGCTCTTGGACTGAAGGAAATCGCTCTCAGCTTCATTCTTGAGCATCTACAGGAGAGAAACATTCAAATAGGACTCAACGACTTGAAGACTGAGCCAGATTTATTGGTTGAGATTATCCAATTGAGTTCCCAGCGAGTACTTCCACCAGCTCGCCCACCTCCTCCAAACCCTCAGCGACAGCAGCATGTTGATATGCTCATGAATGGTGGCCCTCAATTTGGTGGAGGCGATGAATGGAATGCACCCAGATAACGTATAAGTTTTGTTAATTTTTTGCTTACACCTCGTTGTCCTGGCCTACAGTACCTGGTACCATACTGTCTCTAATCTGTGGCTTGAATGAATGAATCATTCGATTCGATCGACAAACGATGACAAAAACGACACTATTTCTTTCAAGTATACCGTACCTCTGGTGTTTGTTATGTCTACCAAAACCAACGGCTCAAATGTTTTCGTAACTGTTGGAACTACAAAGTTCGATATGCTGATCGAGGCAATAACGTCAAAGGTCGCTCTCGATTGGATGGTTTCGCGTGGCTACAAAAGTTTGAAAATTCAGTATGGGAAGGGAAAGGAGCCAAGAATTGAATCAAATGGTTTACCAATCGCAATCGAAGTGTACGATTTTTTACCGTCACTGGATGCTGATATGCGCAAGGCAGATTTGATCATTAGTCATGCTGGCGCAGGGACCGTCATGGAGGCTTTGAGATTACAAAAAAAGCTCATCGTGGTGATCAACACAATGCTGATGAACAATCACCAAGAAGAGCTCGCAGGAGCAATGGCAGAGCGGGGACACTTATTGATGGTCGAAAAGCCAGAAAAACTAGACGACAATCTAACCTGGGTTTCTTTCAACGATTTTGAGCCAATAGTGTATGAAGGCGGAGACGAAGACTCGTTTGCGATACTGCTCGACTCGCATCTTGGTTTCTCGAGCAAGAAAGCTGACTAGTACACTGGCCTATGGTTTTGACGCCTAAAGTCTGTGGGCAATTGATTGGCGAGATTCCGTGTCAATGACGAAATCAAGGAGTTCTGCCGCAACTCGCTTTGCAGTGACGATTGTTGACCAATTTTCGTTCCTCGTATAGCCCTCATAGAGATCTGCTGTTAAGTTCCACGAGAAGAGAATGCAAAAAGAATAGCAATCGTACGCACTTTCGTCGCTACCGAAGCTTTCACCAAGCGTCTTTGGAAACGACCAATAGATACTGCTGCTGCAAGAAGGACGTAACTTCTAAATTTAAATATTTTTGTTCATGTTTTCGATGGCGGTCTAATTCAATAAAATCACAAGAATACAACTACAAATTTAGGCGGAGCTGTCACCTTACATCTTAAGGTTCCATGAAATTTGATTTAGTTGACACTATCGTTGCCATGTCCAGATCTTTCCAACTTGGCAGCATATGCATCGCGTTTACGTTGTCCCTTGGTCTTCTTGGCAACCTTTGGTGGTTCAATCATCTTTTCAAGCTTTTCAACGATCTCTGTCATTCTAGTCATGTCATCGTCGTATTTCTCGTAGAAGCGGTTGTATGCCTCCAGCCATTCTCCATCAAGGGTCTTGGAGGCTTCTTCCCGGTCCAACAATCTAATTTCATTCCACTTTTTTTGGATTTCCAAAATTTCCTTACGATCGTCGGTCATCTTCTCTTCTGGAAGTCTGACATTCAGTTGAGTTGGGGCTCTGCTCACAGAAAGGGGAGCTGTAGAACGACACATCAACAGGTGAGTTCGTTTTCTTTTAAAGAATTTCATGTTCGGCGAAGTCTTCTGCTAGGGGATAACTACGGTGACTACGGAGTTCGCTTACCAAAAGCTTGAGTTGCGGCAACAAGGGTGAGGAGAATAGCGGTCTTCATTGTTCTTGATGAGTTGTTTGGTCGACGATGGTGCTGCAGCTGATGAAGCTTCAGACGAGACCTTCCCCATCATCCGAGCCATCGCAGAAGCAGGGGAACAGAATTCAAATTATCTCAACATCAGTTCTCTGTTACTAAATTCCTGCTGCTACGTAGAAAGATACTACAAAAATATAGAATATGGAACTTTGCGATCGAAAATAGTGGATTAAGTGGATTCATTGAATGACGTACACCCATCAACATCCTCCA